CTAGAGACAGAAGCCACAACAGATTCAAGTTCTAAAAGGGCAGTAGTCTTTTACCTCCTTTCTGGGAAACAGAAACATGTAGAACATAACTATGATCTCAGTCGTATGATTTTTGGTTAAAAATATCTCTGGAGCTATGAAAGTAAACCTTGTGCGGTGGCCATCTCAGATTGAGACCTGTGTGGAGTGACGTCTTGCAGTAACACTGAGAGAAGCTCTCACCTAGACAGCCCAGCCCTGAACCCAAGAGCACAACCTCAGTGTCTTTCAAAACTTGGGAACTTTTCATTTTGAAAATATAGGTTTGAGTCTCCTTACTCTTACCATTGCTCAAGATTGTATTCTATCCTGTTTAGGGGCATGTGGTGTTTTAAACAAGGTCTTGCTTATGTAACCCGGGCTAGCCTCAAACTCGTAGCAATCCTGATGGCTCAGCCTCCTCAAAGCTGGGATTACAAGTATACAATTGTTGGTAACAGAGATTCATAACTACCAATTTATGTTTAGACAACATGGCAATGATATGGATACCCAGCCTGGGCCAAGATGGCTAACACTAGACATCTGTGGGGCTGTATGTCTGTCAGCACACAAAGGTGGACACCAGATGTCCACAGAACACAAAAGTACGTAGTGATATAATGTGTTATGTAACTATTTCTGGCAAAATGACACTTTCGTGTAGGTTCTTTATAAATATGGCCTTGGGGTCAAAACCAGAGACTTCACCTTCTCCAGCCTGCCAGCATGTGCCTATCTGCAGGCATCGAGCATACTTCTATATGACCTGTGTAGCAGTCTATGTGTATGCCCCTGTGTACTGGGTGCCTGCCAGCATCTGGCTGCCTAGCAGTCTGTATAGCAGCCTTCACCCAGAGTGAATTAAGTATATCTTCTCTGCCTGCAACGCCTCGCATGAGTCTCCTCCTCTCCTGCCATCACAGGTAGGACCTTGGGCACCATCCTCAGCTTAAGCTTCTGTTCTCAAAGCTTCTTGTTTTTCTATGAAAATACTCAGTTGTTTCACCTGCTGGGATTGCTTTCCTCACCATTTTACATGGAAAAATCCCAACTCATGATCTCTAAACAGAATCTCCTCTTACCAGAAGCCTGGCATTTCATGGCTGCCTTTTGGCAGCAACCAGTGCAGATGATAAAAGACCCACAGGGATCCCCACAGGGATCAAGTGGTTAAGTATTGAATTAGAGGCTGAATCCTCTGAAAACATAGGGCAGGAAGGACAGAAGTATCCCTCTGAATAGAGTGAGTCTAAGCAATAGACACGAAGGCGAAATATTTTCCCCTGCAAATATCATCTTGGCCTGGCTTGAGGGAGAGGTGCAGAGAGCTTGTGTGCCTGGAAGAAAACATTTAATGGAATGTTCTTCATATTCACCAGTCTGGATTGAGACAAGTGAAAAAGATTTGCATTTCAGGAAAGTAGTGAGCAAAGCTAAATCCCCCTGCCTCAAACTATATCCCAACATGAAGGCAAATGGTACCTAAGGTCTTGTTCCTGCTACTCTCGCTTACTGACCATCCTCATGGCTGTACATTTTCATTGGCAGATTAGGATACAACCATTGCCTCTTTCCACTTAAACCACAGTACAAATGCACAAAGCTCATTTAAACCAAAACACCAAGGAATGAGCAGCTGGTGGTTCTGATAAAGCAAGAAATATAACCCTGGAAAAATATTCTGGAAAAAAATCAATGTGAAGGAAATCAAAGAGCTTATCAGACTCAAACCTCAAACTTGAATTTCATTTGGGCTGCAGGAAGTAGAGTGACTATACTGCTTAAAGAGATGAGAAGTCTATTATACATAAAAGAAATCCAAAGATAATGTATGGCCAGTATGATTATTCAATGTGAATCCTTCACCCTTGTCTTTATATCTTCCATCTCCAAAGTTATTTTTGTTTGAATATGGCAACTAGAGTTCCAGACTTTTGGTTTTCATTCTAATCAGAAAGGATTAAAGCATATTTCATAGGCAAAGGTAAAAAGATACTTTCGACTATGTGATCTCTTCTTAGGGAACTTTTCCAGAAAGTCCATTCTTCAGCTTCCACTTTGATCTCATCGAGCAGTTCCTGAATGTAGGTTAAGGGGTGGGGAGTACCATGATACTTAGTGGAACAGGATGACACTCTGAACAAAGGAAGATCTTGTGATAGAAGAAAAGGAGATTGGGTGCTGGGCAAGCAATTAGTAGTGTCTATTATATAAAGAGCATTTAGATGAATATGAAAGCAAAAGTGATTCAATAATAATGTTGTTGAAGCCGGGCGGTGGTGGCGCACGCCTTTAATCCCAGCACTGGGAAGGCAGAGCCAGGCGGATCTCTGTGAGTTCGAGGCCAGGCTGGACCGACAGCCTCCAAAACAATACAGAGAAACCCTGTCTCGTAAATACCAAATAATAATAATAATAATAATAATAATAATAATAATAATAATAATAATGTTGTTGAGGCTACAACCCAGAGCATAGAGGCTCATGGCAGATATGAAGGAAGGGGATCTAAATGTAAGTTGACCTCTAGAATGTTTCCCTCTCTTGCTTGGCATGGAGCTCTCCACGAGTGGGTACAACTATCTGATTATCCAGGAATACCTCTCAGATTTCCCAGAACTCTGTGTGTGTGTGTGTGTGTGTGTGTGTGTGTGTGTGTGTGCAGGAACATGTATGGAGGTTACAGGTGTTCATCCCAGCCTCCCACCTTGTTAAGACAGGGTCTCTTTGTTATTCACCCCTGAGCTTCAAGGATTCTCCTGTCTGTCTCCCATCTCACTGTAAGAGTATTGAGATTATAGCTGTGTGCTACCAAGCCTGACTTTACGTGAGTTTTAAGGAGTCAAATTCTTACCTTCACACGTATGAGACACATGCTTTACTTGCTGAGCTATTCTTTCAGCTCCATAATTTGTTTTTTGACTATGTTCTGCATGGGACAAGGGACAGCAAGTTTTCATACCATTTGTGAGCACCTATTGTTTATCATTTTTCTTTTTCTTTCCTTCCTTTCTTCCTCTCTCCTCCCCTCCCTCCCTTCTTTCTTTCATTCTTTCTCTATGTTTTTAGAAAAGGCCTCATTATGTAGCACTGTCCTAGAACTCACTATATAGACCAGGTTGGCATTGAATTCATAGAGATCCGGATTCCTCCACCTCCCAAGTGCTGAAATTAAAGACATGCACCAGCACCAGCAACAAATTGTTCATTTATCCTAAGAAAGACATATAATTCAACTTCTGCATTATAGTTATATTTTAATAATGACCATCCTCAGGGAAGAGCTATCCAATACCAATGACCAGTCCTTAAAATATACATAAAAGTAACATTATATAGACTGAGTAGGTTTTACTCAGGAGTATGTATGTATATGCATTTAACAACAATTAATAAAAAAAGAGGCCATGACTTTGAAAGACAGCAAGGAGGGGTGTTTAGGAGGATTTGGAGGGAGAAAAGGAAGGGGAAATGATGTGATTATGTTATAATTTTTTTATCTTAGCACTCGGAAGGCAGTGACAGGCAGATCTCTGTGAGTTTGAGGTCAGCCTGGTCTACAGAGCAAGATGAAGGGAAGGCTCCAAAGCTACACAGAAAAACACTCTCTTGAAAAACAAAAAAGAACTATAAGTGTGCCTTTCTAGTTCCTGGAACAGAACTCTTAAAACCCTTGGAATTGTCTGAGTTTTAGACTTGTCATTTGTTATTCACAATAAACCTCATTCCACCATACTTGAGTTCACACTCACAAGGAATCAAACACATGACTAGATGTTTGGAACTTTCAGCCCTACCCTCTAACTTTTTGACCTCCCAATAAGAAAAAAGCTGGAGACTGAGTTAATCACCAAAGCCAATGATTTAACCAACCATGCATATATGTTCTAGTTTGCTTCCTGTTACTATGATAAACACTGTGGCCAAAAACAACAAAGGGGAAGAAAAGGTTTCTTTCAGCTTACAAGTTATAGTCCATCACTAAAAGACCAGGCCAGGAATTGCTTGTGTTATTTCAAAGCACACAGAGATCGGCAGATCTTTGGAGCTTGCTTGCTAGCCACCAAGCCGACTTGGCGAGTTATAGACCAGTAAGAGACAGTATCAGAGGAAGGACACCTGAGGTTGTTCTCTGGCCTCTACACATGAACATGAGTCCTCACTGCCCCACCCCCTCCCCACCACCCTCCCCACCACACATAAAGAGATATGGTTTCTGCTAAGACAGTTTAAATGACAATTTTTTTTTCATTCTGAAAACTGACTTTGAGGAGCTAGAGAAATGACTCGATGATTAAGTACTGCTCCTGCAGAGGACTGCGTTCAGTTCCCAGCATCCACATTACGGCAGTTTTCAACCACCTATAATTCCAGATCCAGGAGATCTGATGCCCTCTTTGGATATCTGCAAGCACATGCATTCAAAAGCAACCACACACACACACACACACACACACACACACACACACACACACACACACACACAATTTAAATTGTTTTAAATTTTCCATTCAAAGAACTGGCTTTGAGAGTGAGAGGTGAAGGGCATGACATGTTTAGAAGGCTCAGATTTCCAGAGGTTTTCCAATGGCAATGCCAGGGGCAGGACTGGATGCCACAGTGACCACTGTTTTCATAGGTTTGCTGGATTTATTTGTTAAGTCTCTCTGCAATAAGGCCTCTGGGATGGTCTGTCACCAAACTTGCAGTTTAACCATCCATTTGCAAAAGAAACAAAGCAAAGGTGAGTTTTGAAATGTTAATGTCAGACATTTGTTTTGCCACAGTTATTGAAAACTTTGATGAAAACACAAATGATAGGTATTCCAATTCTGAACCTGTACCTCCATGTATAACAATTATTGTCTTCATATGGCAATGCGGTTTTACCTGACTAAACACATACTGTTCTTATTTATGGAGTATGATTATAGTCACTGCTGAATTTTCTGCACCTACTCACTTGCTTCTCAATGCAGATCTAACTGGCTTAAAAGCCCGGACTCTGATTCTGACCAGCTCTTCCGCATGGTGGCCGAGGTCTTCATTCTGTGGTGTAAATCTCATGTAAGGTCATATTTGGGGTCTGGATTGGGAATAGTTTTGGCAGGCATATATCTTTCTTTTAATGTTTGCTTTTTTTCTTTTAAATCTTTCTGCCCTGCTTTAGAACTTCAAGAGGGAAGAGCAAAATTTTGTGATTCAAAATGAAATTAATAACTTGGCATTTTTAACTGGAGACAGCAAAAGCAAGATGTCAAAAGTAAGTCCTCAGAATTCTGTCTCAAGGATGCTTCAGCCTTGACCTCTTGGATCTATTTCACACTCTGTGACACATCTAGCTTAGGACCCACCATAACTAGCAGCCTCTACTGCTGTTTCTTTAGAATGTGCCAGATGAAACTCCTGTGAGATAAACACAGTTACCTTGTTTTGTGAATAAATAGGTGCTTGTATATCAGAACATTTAAGTCTCAAGACTTGGCCAAGGCATTTGAGGTCCCCGGACAGACTACGTGAATGGTTTTAAAATAGGAGGCCACTACAGCCATACTCCAAAAGTGCAGGTGCACAAAACCACCCTCCGATGGGCTGGCAGGAAATGACCTTGCCTTCACCGCACGCACGCTGGCATCACCTTTTCTTTCTGTTTGGAACACCAGCATCTGCTTTATTCCAGATGTGCTGGCCTCTTAATGCCTATGTTCATTTTCCAAGGCATTTTCACAAAGAAAGCCAAATGTCTGTCCATCTCCCTGCGGGAGACGTTTGAAAAAAGGGCATGTCACTCTACTGTGCAGGGGAAAGAGTTATCCTGTAGGAGGGAGCTGTGATACAGCAGGGAGCAAAATGGACTTGTATCTCCTCCTCAGTCAGCTCTGTACAATGAAGCTTCATTGTCTTGGCTGGAGGGAAACAGCCATGCTTCTTCAGTTGCACACACAAAAACCAAGTCTCCTTAGCTGTCATGTCATCTTACTGGCATTATGGCTTACTCTTGGCTCTGTTTCCCTGAGACCTGTGCCTCCCGGAGGTTTGGCTTATGTGTCAAGTACAAGTAGCCTGCAGTGGCTGAGAGACAGCCCTCTCTGCGCTGGCAGTGTTGCCTGCAAGGAGTGCAAAGGTCGAGAGTGCATGGGACCCCTCAGAAGTGAGAGTTGGACCTGGCAAGATGGGAATCATGGGCTTGTAAAGGACACCTTGAATATCTTTCTAAAACCATTTCAGACAGACGGTCCATGTATTGGCACTGCAAGAAAGAGGCTATTATGACACCACAATGAAAATTTGAGTACCTGGGGCTATACCAAGTGGGGCAGCTAGCTCCCATCAGCTGCAGCTACTCTTCTTTCATCTGCATTAACACTAGCACTTATCCAGTATCCAAAATTTTTTGATTATAGAGTTTACAGTCCACTCTCTAGTATACATTGAAAATTGCTCATAGGCAAAGCAGAGATGTTATATTCAAGGAGAATCTTGGCTGCAAAGGCATCTTATGGTATCTCCTTTGGTGTTTTAGCTACACTTATCTGGTTCCCACAATCTCTTTCACATTCGTTTGAGGAATACAAACCCAGGTTTCCCAGCATCCGACAATTCCAGCTTATCTAAGTTGCATTTGCAAGGTCTCGTAGCCATTACAAACTGTCCTTTAATCCAGGCTTCCTACAGAAAGTCAGTGAATCCCAGGCAAACACCATGCTGTCTTTGATATCGGGTAGATCCTCTGGTTGGTACTGACCCATTTAGCATCCATGACAATCTGATACAAGGATTCAGATCCCTGATGGGTAGGAATGGGAAAAGCCATCTCAACCCTCTGGTGATGAATGGATCTTCAAGGTCCTTGAGTTTTAAAATGAATGAGACAACAAAAACCCATTTCTCAACTCAACTCACTTGCTAACAAACTAACACAATGTTCTTTTCATTCATGATGCTAATGAGGGAAGGGGGCATTTCCTTGGCTCATTCACAATGCTGAATAAGGAAAGAGGGACATTTGCCTGGTCAGAGTGGTCATGTTCAAAACATGGGAACATCTTGGAAATGTTTATCTTTAGGAGCAAACTCCATTTCCACTGACATTCTATGCCAATTGTTTCTGAGCCTTATATATTCACCCTGTCTCTGTTGCCTCAATTAGGACAGAGAAAATAGTAGTAAATAGACAAGAAACAGAAAGGGAAAAGTCCTGCCCTTGGCTGAGCTGCTCACTAAGGTTTGCTTCATTTACTTAAATCCTCAGAGCCCATCTTTCCAATCTGTGTAATTGGGTTGAGTTTACTCACAGACTTTTCTAGGTTCTACTAAGAGACTCTGGTTAAAAGTCAGTTTTCATCAGTATCTGTCAGATAGAATATCAACTGATGAACACATTAAGGCAAATACATTGCTTCCAATAAATAACCATTCTGGTACCTGAGGATAGAGTACTATATATGGGAAGCCAGGGAAGGAATTTTCATCCATGTCAGTTGAATTCCTCTTGCCTTTGCTTCTGTACAAGCAGATGTTCTCTGCTACCTGCTCTGAATGGGCACCTATCACCCATGCTTGCATTTGTCTCCATTCTTAGTTGCATTCTGGTGTTGTATAAATGAAGTTGCCTTTGGTGCATATGGCAGTCTTGGTGGAGGTATCCATCTGAGAATGCTGCATGCCGTACACTGCATAAGCCATGCCTGATGGCAAGAAAGCACAAAAAATTTACAGTGGGTCACACTGTTCCCACCCAATTAACGGAAGATCCTTTCAAAGGCATATTTTGCTAGCAGTTCACACCCATTTCTTTTTTGAAAGCTCATTGTATATTTTGTTTATAAAGCACCAGTTTGTGAATATATGTTTTGGTTCAGTTTGGTTTTTAAATGTACTTTGTTTTCTGGTGATATAGCAACAGCTTCCTCAGAGGGGAATGGTAAGTTAGAATGCATTCAGTCAAAGAAATGTTAAGCCAGTCCTTGACCACTATTGTAAACACCAAAATGCACATTGACAAGAATTGGGATGTGTTTTCATGAGTTGAAAAGGACAGGAACTGTCTAATAGGATATATTTTAAGAGAGTGTGAAATCACGTGACTTTTGTTCAGTGTGCTCACGTGCACACACGCATACATCAGTCTCTCTTACTTCCTTTCTCTGCATCCTTTCTCTTTTGTTTTCTTTGTTCTTATACTTTTGAAGTATCTCACAGTCATGTACTGATGTTCTCTCTCTCCCCTCTTTCTCTTTCTCCCTTCCTCTCCCCCCTCCACTCCTCTCTCTCACACACTTACCCTTTGTCCTCTACTCTCTGTCCTTTCCCTCCTATCTGTCCACTTTTCTTGTGATCTTGACTCTCCCTTTGCATGCTCTCCCTTTCTTCCTCTCCACAACCCCCCTACACCCCCCCCGTTTCTCAGACTGATTTCTAGAAATTCTTCTTTTCCTCTAACATCTCATGTTGCGTTGACTTACATGAACTTCACTTACCCTCTAGATGGAATAAGGACTTCCCACAGTGCAGGTCTGCCTCTGATCAAAGGCTGATGTGAGCCCCCTGCAGGAGAGAGGTATAGACAACCCCAGGAAATGTGAGCCCCCTGAGCTACAGTGACACAGACAACACCTGGAAATGTACTTTCATCAAACCCCCACATCTCACAAAAACATGAAGACTGCAAAGTCTGGTTTGGTTTTTGTTCCCCTCTAAGGACTACACAGAAAGTCACTTGCTTGATCATTAAGTACTGGTGTAGTTTATGACCTAAGAGCAGATAAGTGAAGTTGTTTTGAGGGTGTATGAACCAGAATTAGTGAATTATCATGAAGGAATTAATCCTAGCAACACATGAAGAATAGAGGTATAACCTTCAGGATATAGGAAGCTTTGACTTAAAGTTTAAAAGCTGCAGTGTAAGAAAGGAGAGACTCTGTTGTTTTGGTTGTGGAGTGATCCCAAGTCACTCTGGACAATCCTGCAGGACCCCCATCAACCCCCTCTCTCTTTATTTCCCTCTCCTTCCCTCTCTCCCTCCTACACTCTGTTTAGAGACAGAGTCTATCATGCAGCCCAAGCTGTCCTTGAACTCTTCTTCTCAGTCTCCAGCACTGGCATTAAAGGTGTAGATCATCACACCCAGAAGTTTAGTATGATCTCTTGTTGTCACTATTGTCTGCTCTGGTTTTGCTCTTTTGATTTCAATGCTTAAGGTAGAGGCCAGGGCCTTGTGAGAGTTGTGTACATCCCAGCCCTTCCAGTAATTTTTTAAATCTATTTTTAACCAATTGCAAGTAGCCAACACAAAAAGGATTCCAGTTTTGTTTTGTTTTGTGTCTGTGTGTACTTTGGTGTGGGAAGGAGGGATTGAAGGCGGGGAGGGGGAGTTTGGTTTTGATTTCAGTTTTTATTAATTTTTTACATTCCAATCCCAGTTCCACCTCCCTCCTCTCCTTCCACTTCCCCTCACTCCCCCCATCCATCTGCTCCTTGGAGAGGGTAAGGTCTCCCCTAGGAAGTCTACTAAGTCTGTCCCATCATGTCACTGAGGCAGGACCAAGGTACCTCTTCACCCCCCACACCCCTGAGTCTAGGCTGAGCAAAGTATCTTTCCATATAGAATGTGCTTCAGACTTTTTTCAAAGAAAGAAAATATAAAGTTCAGTGGACAGGGAGGTGAGAAGGATCTGGGACAAATTGGGAGAGGGGAAAGAATATGATCAAAATATATTGCATGAATAAATTTTAAAACATAAAAAAGAAAAATGGAAAAAATAGCACATTAGGATAACATTTGGTACATCAAACATACCAAATGAACTTGAATAAAAATATTTTAAAGCTTTTTGAAAAGATTCAAAGTGAAATTATATATATGTATATGTATGTATATATATATATATGTGTGTGTGTACACACACACACACACACACACACACACACACACACACATGCAAACCTTTTAGCAGAAGCAAAGGCATTGCCCTTAACTTGATTCTCTAGTCTGCTGGAGCAGATAATGTGGTGGGTGGGAGGAATTCAAACTTGAAGTCTTTGGGTACATGAAAGTTTTCTGCAGCCCCCTGTGGTTAAAGGAAGTCAAAAAGAGACACTGTAGATATAAAGAGTTGCTGTGAGTTGCTACTGTGGGTGGGTTCTACAGAGCATACACTCTGGAAGGCTGGTCTCTGAGGTCTCCTCCCAGTCCAGAAGTGCTTGATGAGGATATATGAAGTTGTTTACAGGCAAATTAACCTACATCCTAACCTCTCCTTAGTCTTCATGCTATGCTCACATGAACTGTTGGGTTTCTGTTCTGATGACTGAGTAACTGGGCCCAAGAAGCTAAGGATAACATGCTGCCTGATGCTTTGGATCCCTACTTTTACTGACTGACTCTTCTCCTTGTCTCTTTTCCTTTGTCTTTCCATACAGGCCATGCAAGTAAAGGTACAGGTCAAATGCATGATGTGTCTTTTCTGTCCTAGTATTAGAGTTGCCAGGCTCTGTCCCTCTCCACACTGTGATCGCCATGGGGGTATTACAGATGGATTTTCCAACCTGTGGGTTCCCCCAGGGAAGACAACTGCCTGTCCAGGAGTGTATATAGGCTTATCCGCCCTTGGAATGGGGAAGCCAGGCAAGACTTGCTCTAACAGAGATCTCCTTGCTATTTCTATTCCCTTTCCCAGATGCCTACTCTCCTAGTTTGGCAGCCACCATTCTGCCAGAGATAGGGAGGACAGGCAGGGCTTGGGAGCCTCAGAGCTTCCCTCTTCTGCCACGGTACCAGGTTCACATTTCTGATTTGTGTCTTTGGTCCAGACCTCTCACTACTATACATGTTCTGCCTCTGATTCAAGACCCCATGATTCTAGGAGACTCCCAGGAGAGTCTCAAGTTTGAAATCAGCAGATAGCTTTAAGCTTTTGCACAAAATGTACACATTTATGTAGACATTCTTCTCTTTCTGTTCACTAATAAGTATCTAATGCTATCGTTCCAAACCCTCTGACCCAAGGTATGTGGTGGAGAATGGGAGACATGTAAGAGCCAGTTCACATGAAGCTCGCAGAAAAGAAAAAAATGGAGCCTTGGCAAGATAGACTTGCATCTGGATGATGTCTCAGACACTTTCTTACTGTGTGACCTCAAAAAAGAATCCTCAAGATCCCTGAGGAACATTCTCATCCCTAAACTATTTCAAGCTTGTTTTGAGGATTGGAAATGCTCAATTTATGTTTCTGCTATATTGAAGTCATACATGTAACAGTTATGATTAGAATATGATAAAGGCAAAACTAAGCAGAGACTGAGAAATCATTTAAATTCTCTATCAAATCCACAGTTGCATTTTGGCACATTTACCCATATGCTGTGTGTGATTGTTGACATTTACACATACATAATACCGTGTAGTTTGTATGTATATAGCCAGATTCTATCCTTAATGGATAGTTTAGGTGGTGGACTGCAGATGGTTTTTGCCACTGGAATTGTCCACTTGGTGGAAGAACACAGGCTCGGAGAGCACAGCGCTTGCAGTGTCCTATGGGAAGCAGCCTTCATACTCTGCTGCTCTGGTATGTGAGAGGGCTCTGGTCCTTAGCATCACTTCGTCCCTTCTCATATGTGGCACTACCCTCGGTTTAACTTGCATCCTGGGGCTGACTTGTGGTTTTGTAGTTCCAGGGACACAATGCCTCTGCAACTCTCTTTCATCAGACTGATTTCCAAATGGTAATATAACCACCCGAAAGTGCTGCTTGTGTAGCCGAGTGGTAAAATCACCGACTCTTCTCTAGAAAACACATGTCTAGGGCTTTGGCGTTGGCTCAGTGGTGAAGAGTACTTGTTACTCTTCCAGAGAACCAAGTTTCAATTCCCAGCACCTGCATGGTGGTTCACAAACCTTATGATCCAGAGGATTTGATGTTGTCTTCTGACCTCTTTGGTGCCAGGCACACACATGGTACACATACATGATGCACATACATTAAATACATGTAAAAAAGAGAAAGAAAAGGCATGTCTCATAAATGGGCCCTGGGTGCCACATCTAGGGGAGGTGAGAAGGACACAGAGCTCTGTATGCATGTCATTGTAAACTACACTACTGCCAATGCATTTTAGCAGACACTCTCTTAAAGCAAAACCAGTTTTCCCTCACCGTGGGCCCTAACTAATTTCAGGCCACAAAGCTCTCTCTACTTGTATGCTGCTTACTCAGCTGAGGTAAAGTCTATCATGCAGAGTACCACGTGGTCAGCCTTGCTTTTCCAATCATAGCACCATAAAAAGTAGATTGCTATGGTATCTTGTCTCCTGAACCCACCCAGACTACCACTGCTATGCTATGGGTGCTGAGTGTTTTCAGTCGCTTGTTTGGGAGCTACCATTGCCTATAGTGAAGCAAGTCAAATTTCTCTCTTACACTTCCCACTTAGAGTCAGGTATGTATTTTATACCTATAATCCTGGGAGTAGAGAGACTGAAGCAGGTTTGGCACAATTTCAAAGCTAGCATGGGCTACGTAAGGATAACCTGTTTCAAAACAAACAAAAAACTCAACTACTACCACAACAAAAACAAAACTCAGGAAACGAAAACACTGATACTTAGTTGAATGAACTCTGAAAATAATGACAAGGCATGAGCAAAACAAACCTTCGTCAGCTGGAGAGACAGATGACTCAGTAGTTAAGGGCACACATGGTTCTTGCAGAGGACCCCAGCTCAGTTCCCAGCACCCACCTCAGGCATCCCACAATATCCTGTAAATCCAGTCCCAGGGACTTAGATGTCCTCTTCTGGCCTCTGTGGATACTGCACTCATAGAGACACATATAAGTGCAAATATGCAAAGTTAAAAATAAAACGAAACTTAAAAAACTCCCATAGAACTATGGAGTTCCTTTATTTCCTGTATAGTTTTTCTCCTACCTTCCTCCCAGCCAGATCCTGAAGCAGCCCTATTGTAGATTTTCCTGTAAGAATTTGTGTTGCCCCATGGTGGAGAGGCTATGTGGAAAGTCCATGCTATAAAACACCAGCTTCAGTCCTGGAAACAGGTCACTGGTGTTGTGGTGGATGTATTCCATATTTTAACTCGTACACCAGTGGTGAGGAGCTGTTCTTTGTCGGAGTTATTTTACCTGCTGTAAAACCGTTCTTTTTGTTGTGACTGTGTCCCTTCAGTGCAGAAGAGAGTAAACAAGGACGACGGGTGTCTGTGCTGTGTGTCTAGCTACTGTGGTTTTGTGTGCATGTACAGAAATGGAGGCTTGGGTTTGAACTGGTCTTTAATGACCATTTGGTTTGTTTTTGCTTAACACTTTTTTTGTTTTTGTTTTTGTTTTTTACTGTTCTTTGAAATGTAGTAAGGCCCAGCCTGTACGGACAGGGCCTCAAGGAAGCAAGCTACCCCTGAGCTGAGACAGTTCCTTTCAGAGAGTCACTGAGCCCTTCTCTTTATTTCAACATCATCTCCTAGTCTGGAGGACAGGACCAGGAACGGAAGAAGACAAAGAGGCGAGGAGACTTGTACTCCATCCAGACCTCCCTCATCGTGGCTGCGCTCAAGAAAATGCTGCCCATTGGTCTGAACATGTGTACACCAGGCGACCAGGAACTCATCTCTCTTGCAAAATCTCGATACAGCTGTGTAAGCTGCCTGTGTGGTTGGGTTGAATGTAGAGTGTGGGCTGTGGGGAGTGGATGGTACTCAGCCTCTGAAGGGGAAGCTCCTGGGGGGTAAGGTAGGGGTTTAGGGAAAGGGACATGCTTTGTAAAGCTGTCAGTAACTTGGGGTTAGTCTCCTTCACTTCTCTCCTCCTGCTCTTCTAAGAAAGATCCCAGTTAAATTGAGCACTCACCATCCATACTTTCTGCACCCTACTTTGCGTTTCCATGGTGATCCCTAGGAATAAAATTTAGCATCTTTCCACAGAGGGACACTGATGAAGAGGTCAAGGAACATCTGCGGAATAACCTACATCTGCAGGAAAAGGTGATGCTTCCTCTCACAGGCTGCCCTGCTGGCTGCAGGACCCATCCTCCCTACTCATGGTGTCTGTCTGTCTATCTGACTGCTAAGTTAGAGTCTTTCTATGCAGCACAGGGTAGCCTCAAAGTTGACACCTTCCTGCCTAAGCCTCCCAAGTGTGAAGATTACAAATGTATACCACCCAACACTTTGCTCATGTTTCAAAATGTATTCTAAGAACGGTTTAATTGCTACAAATGGGTATAATTGCTACAAATGGGAAGCGAAGGCATCAGGATCAGGAGTTCAGCTCCAATGTTGGTTATGATAGCAAATTGGAGCACAACCTGGGCTACGGAAAACTAGCTCCCTCCCTCCCTCTCTCTCTCTCTCTCTCTCTCTCTCTCACACACACACACACACACAAGCTAAGCTCTCTAACAAGTGTATGTCATACTTTCTACTAAATGAACATTAGGCCATTGCAGAGAGTGTTTGGATTAAGCCTCAAAATGTATTGACTTCAAGGTTTGTTGAACAGGGAAAGAGGCACCTGGGAGAACATTTTGGTAGCTGCCACTCTGGAGAGCTTTCGAAACAAAATAAGTGTGTGTTATGGGTAAAAATAACAAGAAAATGAGAGCTAGAATTTAAAGACATCTTGAGATTTCTCTAATTCTTTAATTTTGAACAGCTCCATTTTCAAGGTACATTCTGCCCTAACATGATTATGAAGAAAAGCAAAAGTACCAATTCTTTCTCCCCAAAATGTATAGCAATGGTAGATAAAGTACTTAAGGAAAAAAAAGCAAACAACAAAAAAATCCTAACTGCCAAAAAGTAAGATGCTCTAACTCTTAGCAGTAGGGGTGTTAAGGGGGGACACCAGAGATGACCACTTAGATCCAGTGTATAGCCTATTGAAAGTCTTTATTCCAGCCAACTAGGGCCACACCCAAATGTGTGGGAGACTTAGGTGCAGCCCTGAGTGTCCAAAACATGGACTTTAAAGGCAGAAACCATGTCCTGTCTTCTCACTCTGAAGCTCCAGGGAGCTTTGCGAAAGTCAGCAGTGTGAAGCAAGCAGTTTAACAGAAGCTAAGTGGCAAACAGGCAGTTTAACACTCACTAAGATAAGTTAGCTAGAACATCCTGACCTTGCATTCCTAGAATAGAGTTGAGCAGTTTTCTGTGCACTTCTTCGTCAAGGAGATCAAATTCAAGTTAAGCCTGGAATGGCCTCAGCAAGAACACAAGATGGAGGAGACTCTGCACTGTCCTGCCCTGTCACAAGGAGAAGCCAGCCTCCTGGAGAGAAGACAGGTGCTCCAGTCAGAGCTACGCCTTAGGGCTGGAGTTTAGCAACTTTAAAGGAAGAGGAATATAGAGCTGATTGTCTATCTTGACATAATTGCAGCAGCATGTGAGGCTTGAACAGAATTAGCTTTGAGCCAGAGAAACTCACTTATCTCCTTCAGAGACAACTCTGAAACTACTTGGAGGGTCTCTACTTACTAAAATGTGGGTGGAAAGCAAGTAAACAAAACTGGTCCTGGAAATGGACTCCAAAGATGCAGAACATGTAAGGAAATGCTCCAAGTGAGTAACTCAAGCAACAAGGAACTAACAGAAAGAAACTTAAATACCAATACAGTAAAAAACTTTTAGTCAGACAAGGGAAGCAATAGAATTCACAAAAAATAATAATAAGCAGAATGTTCTTTAAAAGGAGATAAATGGGTTTGATCAAAAAATAGCATGAGGATTATACAAATAAATAGTCTTGAAATTTAAATTTTAATCTGTAGGCATAAGTTACAAGGTTGGCATTGCCAAACATAGAATTGATAAATTGGAAGACTATTTTCTGGAAATCATCCAAAACATAGCACAAAGAGATGAAGGAATGGGAAAATGAGGTTCATATATAGCATTTTTATGTTGTAGGATATAAGAGAGGAAGAGTGGGGCTGAAAAGATGACTCAGCAGTTAGGAGCACCTGCTGCTCTTCCTGGGGACTCAAGTTTGGCTTCCAGCACCCACATCAGGCAGCTTACTCGTACAAATAACTGCAACTCCAGGGAATCAAGCATGCTCTTCCGCCACCCACAAGCACCCAAAACACGTGTCACATACGCAGAGTTAGACACACACACACACACACACACACACAAGTAAAAACATAGCATAGTTTTAAAATACAAGAGGGATGGAAGGAAGAGAAAGGTGTGAAAGCCAAAGTTACATTTTAAGTTTTAATTACTATGCCTAAGAGATCCATGAAACAAAAATGTCTCTGGTCTGCAAGCCCCTTGCCCAAGGACAGATAGTTCCTGAAATGCTGGAGGCTATTGTTTATGGGAGATTAACAAGCCACAGGTTTTCACTCCCCTAAACAAGTTTGCTTGAGGCATCTACACCTTTTGCTTGGTCACATATGAGCAGGAGGTTCACAGCCTGGGGGTACATCAGGATGTATGCTTGCCTCTGAATGGTCTTGATGGGAAATGCAATGAATTACAGGGGTTCCTACTTAAGTCACTGCAAACTGTGATTCTGGGCCATTTCCCAGGAATCTGGGTATGGACCTGGCCAGAGCCCATCCACCTGGCCAGTATTCCATTAAAGCTTGTTTTACGTTTGGCTTTAATCTATGGTAGTTGTCTTATTCTCAATCAGGAAAAGTATAATCAAATGAGTCTTATTATACAGAACCTGGTAGGACTGATGCTATTCCTTAGCATCAGAGATACAGAAACTGCTTATCTCATGGATATGCTTCAACTTCAGTCAGATGATCCAGCTGTGAAATGGCAACTGAACCTCTACAAAGATGTTCTGAGGAATGAAGAACCTTCCAATCCAGAAAAGACAGTGGAGCGTGTGCAGAGGATCTCAGCAGCTCTCTTCCACCTAGAGCAGGTATGCAGGTTTGCAATGAGGAGTGAGTAAGCAAGACTGGGAGGATAGAAAGTTCTTCCCTGCACTCAACTCTCAATTACAGGAGACCTCTTGAGGCAAAAGGCAACCATCAAATTTATCCCACATCACCCCCAAGTGTTCCCTGTTGCCTCATAGCTTTCCCCTGCGCAGTTTACAAGTTCTTGCTATGACTTCAAAATAGTTTGTTTTTTCAGTTCTTTGCCATTTGTAAAACAACAATAAATGTCTAGTGGTATTTTGGGGAAATGAAAAAAAAAAAGGACCTTCACACAAGAATGACTTACTGCTGGGGACATTTTTGCTAACTTCAGTTGCAAAACCAAAATCATCCTAGAGTTGAGATGTCTGAGCTACTATCGGCCTACTGTGTGCCTACTTATGTGATGTCTTCTCAGGTGGAACAGCCTTTGAGGTCCAAAAAGGCTGTATGGCACAAATTGTTGTCAAAGCAACGGAAACGGGCAGTGGTGGCCTGTTTCAGGATGGCTCCTCTCTACAATTTGCCCAGGTGGGTACTCCGTCATTATTCTCTGCCAGGTGACCCAGTGATAGGGCTTGTCCTCCTGTAGCTGAGCTCTTTCTGGCCCTTAAACTTAATCCTAACAATAGAAACTAGGGTCTGTGGCTTATGGCACCTTGCAGACTGCACAATAGGATGGTGTAAGCAATCAAGGTACGTATGGAAGCAGGTGAGATTACCTCATCCTGGGTCTTCACAGCTTCCCAGCCCACAAGGAGGTTGCCTCTCTTCTTTGCTGAGATGGGAGTCTTTTTGAGAACATAAAGGCTTCTGGAGAAAGGGAGCTGTTTTCTAAAGTACCTTAGCCTAAATTCCATCATTTGCCTTCTCAGGCACTAGGTGACATGACAGAATTTACTATTCTTCAGCCTCTGCTGTAACTGTAACCTGAGAATTCTTCACCACAGTGTATTTACCATCAAGATGAAGGGGCAGCTAGTTGCGATGACACATGCCTGTAATTCCAGCTCTCAGGAGGTAGAGGAGGTTCATGAATGTGAGTTTGGCCCAGGCTACATAACAAATCCTTGTCTTAAAACAAAAAGAGGAAGAAAGCTTAGAGATACCCAAAGAGGCTGGACAATGTAATTATTTTGCTCTTTTGTACTTTGAAGTAAAAATTATGTGAAGTCTTTGGCCTTTTTTTTTTCTGCAAACTATGTAGCATATCTTCTGTCAACATAAGGAAGGGAATCTGTGTTAGTTAGACTTCCATTACCACTGACTCAAAGAAAGGTTTATTTCAGTTCACGGTTTCTGAGCTGGTTTTTAGCTGGTGGTCACTTGGTGCCTGCCGTCATTCTCAGTCTATGATTATGGAGATAATTATGGGAGTGAACGTGCAATAGAGCAAAGCTTCTCACCTACCAGAAAGAGGGGTAGAACAAGGCTCTAATATTCAAGGGTGTGTCCCAGTGGCCTTGATCCTACTACTAGACCTCAGCTTCTAAAGGTTCCACCATCTCCCAGTAACATCAGAGTCTGATGACCAATCCTTCAATGCATGATCTTTTTAGGGCATTGAAGATCTACACATTGAAGACCCGTACTGACTACTAGGACTGTCTCTGCATGTCTGGTGATAAGACAAATTCATCCTTCTCTAGTGAGGGCAGATCTGTACTCTGTCTACAAAGCTGGTGACTGAATAACAACCTTTGATTTATCAACTTTCTAGTCTCTAGGAACAGCCTCACCTGGTCATGGAAAAACAACTGACTAGGACAAAAGCATTCTGAATCCTATACATCAGTATGTTTCCTTAGACTATGAGGCCAGGGACTATCCTGTTCTTGGCCTTTGCTTTTGTCAAATGGAGGATCTTGACCATCATTTATCCAGAACAGCCTATACCTTGCCTTGAACCAGGCAAGTCTTCCCTTTTAGTGTCTTTGAAGATGGCAGAGAAAGCACAGTTTCTGAGAAGTATACCTGTTCCACAGGGCCTCTCCCAAGAAACTAGATTTGCTTTATTTGGAGGGGAATGAAACAACACTAAGTCAAGTAAAAAGAAGAAAATGGAAGTCCAGCCATAGGTACAGGGGTTGATGAAGTCCTTGCAGAAAAGTGAAGTTGATACCCATTTAAAATTGTAGAAGTGTGTACAATTTTTGTTTTCTTTTTTTAAAGATTTATTTATTATGTATACGGTTTTCTGTCTGCAGAAGAGGATGCCAGATCTCATTACAGATGGTTGTGAGCCACCATGTGGTTTCTGGGAATTGAACTCAGTACCTCTGGTAGAACAGCCAGTGCTCTTAACCTCTGAGCCATCTCTCCATCCCCTTATTTGTTTTCTAAAAATAATGAAAACACCAGAAAGCATTCACCATCTTCTCTTGGTCACAACTCCTGCCTGAGGATGTAACATGAAGAATTCAGCTCTTAAAACATCAGTTCAGGGCCAGGCCAGCCAGGCAGAAATTATCCCTCTCAAAAACAAGCATGTTTTAAGACATGGTGTTGATACCATCCCTTCCTATCTGGGTATTCCTTCAGTATTCCCCCACCTATGTGTGTCAGAATAAGTTCACAGAATCCCTGTAATGAGGCATGGACTCCTTAAGCCAGCTGCTTGGGTTTTCTCTCTAGCATGAAGGATGGTAAGTCAGTGTCATAACAACCAGCTCACCAAGAAGACAATTGTGGAAGCAGCTCCTCCTCCCTACTTTGCAATGGTCTAAGCTTCATGGAGTCTTCCAGACTAAATGACTAGAGGGATTTATCTGATTATAGAGATGCTGTTTCTCTGGTGTTGGTGTTTAAAAGAAAACCCTGTATGCTTTTCTCCAGACACAAAATTAACAATTTCTTCCTGACCACCTTTCAACGTGTTTGGCTGGAAAAGGTTAATGAAAAAACTCAGTATGACAGACTAATACCCATTTTAATGGTAATGTAACCTGAAAGATACCAGCTCATTCTCTGCATATGCCTCCATTCTTGGCCATGGTTTGATGTTCCCATAAGAATACACATTTGTACAATTTTTTTAGAAAGTAAAATTCTGATTGGTCAGATTTTAATGGGAGACAGCAAGGTTTTGGTTCTACCAAAACACCAACCAGGACTTAATGGCCTCTTTTGTCCTTTTCTTCATTCCCGCCCCATCTTGCTACTGCCTTCACACTTACCGGTGCTTCTGTGACTAGCTTTCCAGGAAGTCACGCCTGGCTTTCAGGAAGTGGTATGAGCCAGACAGCAGAGCACAGCCAGGATCCCAGAGCCACGCAGAAGGCATGTTCATAGCATAGCATGCCCAGGTCTTCTTGCTTTCCTAAGTAACTGCTGAGATGCCTTGCTGAGGTGTTCTTTGGATAGGAGAAGGTGGGGAAGCTAAGTTAAGGGTTTACAGTTTGTCTGACACTAAACTACAACACGATTTCAACTGTATTACCTGGATAGAGGACTAGTCTAAAGAACTGTCATCTGAAGCAAATATTTTCAGACTTGGTCTAATCAGCTATTTCTCACTAGAATGGCAATGTGATAAAACCCAGTAAAACTAAAGGGGGATGCTGTGTCTCACTCTGGCTCTGGTGCTAGGAAGGAGCTCCAGTTACCTAGTTACAGAGTACAATGTGAGCTACTGACTGCCCTGACCAATCAGAAGATGAGAATTGTACAAAAAGTCTGTCCTGCCTACTAACTACTAACCACCCAAACTAAAATAATGAGCCCACCCACTCTCCTGACCCCCCTCTCACCCTTCCACTCAGGCACCGCTCTATTAACCTCTTCCTCCATGGCTATCAGAGATTTTGGATAGAAACAGAGGCGTATTCCTTTGAAGAGAAACTAGTACAGGATTTGGCTGTAAGTACCAAACAAACTGGGAGCAGACACGGGTGTGAATGGGTTTGATTTTTGTATCTGTGTTTGTGTATGTTGTGAAAGTCAGGCATTCACATAGAATGTGTGTGGTGTATCAACCTGAAAAGAACTAACTAAATTCTCAGGGTGATGCTGCCATTGGTCCTAAGAGCCAGAGGATGGAATTTCAACTAGAGGTGCTAATAATGTCCTCACCCCTATCTCCATCATCATTAACAACTAATGTTTCTTAAAAGTGCACAGCTACACCATGGGGAGTTCATGCCAAGTTAAGTTTTGAGTACCATTGGTTGCAGGAGGCCCCCTGTCCTGTTTACCCCCAGCTAAAACCCCACATCCATAGCAATAGCTCTGCTTTAGGGAAGGTGCATCTACATAATCCTCTTTCCTGCACCTCTCTTCTGGCTTGGTCCTTCAAAATTCTGGCATGCACTCTCTCTAACAGACATCATACTCTGAAACCACTCAAAGTGGAACACAAAGGAGTAGCCTCATCCCATCTGGGGGAAAATAAGCCCTCCCTCCTCTTCTCTGGCCAGTGTGTGATTCTCTTTTCTCCTTACCACTCCAGTTTCTCATTTTCCAGTCTCACTTGCTCTCTGCACTAATCTGGTATTGTTTCTCATTCTTCTCTTCTGTCTGTTTTTCTCTTTGAACTGTCGTCCTGTATCTTGGCAGCTTCCCTCCTTTTTTTTCTTCTTTTCCTTCCCTTTGTTTATAGGTCCCTTACTTTCCACACACACTCCTGTTGATGAGAAGGAAGCTGCCTCTGTTTGTAGATCCCTTACTTTCCACACACACTCCTGTTGATGAGAAGGGAGCTGCCTCTGTTTTCCCACTCTCCTGATGGCTGTGAAGCTGGCAGCAAGCAGCATTTTAGCCTGTGTGGTTCTCACCAATCCACCAAGTACATCCACCCTGCTGACTTGGCCTCTGCCAGAAAATTTCACTGTTGCCACTAACATCAGCTGCTGTTTCCCTTTCTATAAAAACAGAGAAGTGACTTGGCGAGAGGAGAGCAAATTTTAGGATAGAGTGTGAAGCTAAAACAAAGAGACATTTTTTATTAGGATAAATCTAGACTAATACTATGGTTTTGCATTAGTCCCACTTACTATAGTATTGCAATTAAGTCTGCTGAACTTATCAAGTCATGTTCATGCCCTGATTTTATACACTTGTATCTATCAATAAACATGGTGATACTTGGAAAAAAACTAAAATAATACAACTGGACCCCGAATAGCGCCAGAGATTTGTGAATTTTGTCACACCTCTATCTCAAGCCTGCTCTCCAGAAGAAATTACATGTGTTATCTAGAGGGACTCAGTTAAGCAACAGCAGGGTTTCCCTCCTGAACTGGGGTGCCCACAGCTTGCATGAGTGTTAATTGGAGTCAGTAGCTCATTCCCTGTGGTCAGCTATTTGCTTTCTTTTATCTCATTTAATTTAAAATTGGAATGTGTCTTTGATGGGCTGGGGGAAATGTAGATGTCTGTACCAACCTTGCATCCTCGGGACCCCTTCCCTGAAATAAGCATCTGGCAGAGGCTTCCTTTCTCTGCTCTCAGTCTGATGCCCGTGCCTTGCGCTCTGCCTTCCCTTTATTCGCATGCAGCTATGCGGTCCATGCGGGGATCCAGGTCTCAAATGTGTCTCTGTTGCTCTGTGCAGAAATCTCCCAAGGTTGAAGAGGAGGAAGAGGAAGAGACAGAAAAGCAGCCTGATCCACTTCATCAAATCATTCTACACTTTAGCCGCAATGCACTGACGGAGAGGAGGTCAGCATCACCATGGTGTTCTTCCCACAGGCCGGGGATAGTACTCAGTCATGTCTACCCCTCCGTGGTTAGCAGGGGGTGGGGCAGGAAGGATTTCAGAACAGACAGGCTCTATTCATGGCCACCAGGAAATGCCCGCAGGACAGAATTCTCAACATAATACGAGACAGACTAAAAATGAAACAGCCTAAAATTGTCACTTTACTCCTAAAGTCCATGTCAAGCCAATGCTGGCTCAGCTTTTAAGAGTCCAAGTATCTAATTAGTTCATTCATGCATTTAACTTGGCATTTATATTGTTTTTAGTAATTTTTTGTTGACTCAAGAACATAGCCTGCTAAATATTTTTTCTGTTGTTTCCAGCAAATTGGAAGATGACCCTTTGTATACCTCCTATTCCAGCATGATGGCCAAGGTACAGCTGGGTTCTCACACTTTGTCACAGTCTATCTTTAGACCTCTTGGAGCCAATCAAATTGTCATGAGAGCAAGAAGGCTGGGGCTTGGTCATGACACAGGTTCTAAGTATCACACAACTCTTGCACCATAAATATGCTGGTAGCTGGATTCATGGTCCAGTTCTAACACTTATTAAACATGGCCTAAGCATACAGATTGTCTTTACATTTTCAGTTAGTGACCAGGAGAGGCCAGGGACTTCGATCTGTGTGCAGATGAAGAACACAAGCTTGACACTAGAAAAAGGTTTCAGTGTCCTAGAGGAGCCACAGTAACTAGAGGAATGCTACCCAGAAGTTTGACAAACTCTAGAATACTGAATATACATAAGGAAACTGTCCTCAGATAGAAAAACATTCAGGAAGGAGGAGACAGATGCTGACAAACAGGAACTTCTATTGCTTTGTTCTGTTGTGTCTCATGGCCCTAGTACAAAGTGACAATTTAGGGTTTACATCATAGATATCCCACTCTTACTGTCACAGCCCTGGTATCTGTCTTAACAGGGACAACTCCTTGCATTCCTTGGTTCTTATTTGTATCAGAACTTTTTTAGGGAAGGGAATTCATATCTGTGCCTAAAACAGGTCACTGTTGGATATGTGAGTTCTGTGTTCTCCTTTCTTGTTCCTTAAGCCCTTGCTGACTGCAGAAATGGGATTTAAAGTGGAATGTTGCCCTGCAATGATCAAAATGTTCCTGCTTTTACAAGGTGCTGAGGTTCCGAGGAGTCTGTGAATGATAGCCTGTCCCCTGCTCTTGCAAAATATCATAGGAGAGCAGTCTGTGTTCATTAGACTCCTATAACTTGGTTTTCTGTCTTCCCCGCTCCATGGAATCCAGAGTTGTCAGAGTGGTGAGGATGAAGAGGATGAGGAAGACAAGGAAAAAACATTTGAAGTGAGTTTCCATAAAGTTATTAGAACCAGGGTCCTTGCAGGCCAATAGGCTGGGGCTTCAGAATGGTGACTGCCATTTGCGTATGAGGCTCAACACACTGCTGTGTCCTAGTCAACAAGTCTAGCCATAGCTCTGGTATCTGCCCATGTGACTAATAGGCAATAGGTGACCTGCTCATCAGCAGTATCCACTCCCAACTAGGTTGGTTCTGATGGGACAATTTGATGGGCTTCCCAGTTACTGTAGTTACCAGCTGTAGAAGGACAAATTTAAACAGCCTAAAGTGAAAAATCAAGGACATTGGGACGATCTATATTACTCTATCAATATAAGTTGGCAATAGTTTTTATTTCAAGGCACTATATGTAGAAGCCCAAAACTCCTAAAATTGCACAAGTTTAGGTCCTTGAGCTCTTTGATAGGCAAAACACCCAAAAATATAGTAAAAGTGAATGCAGGTGATTACAGTTCTGGTGACCAGCTGTGTCGGAACATGTCTGCAGTCTAATACGGGGACATTTCTTACATTCAGACAAATAATATTCAGTTGGCCCCTCAAACATGCTCCCTGTATAATAGAGCATTGAAAACAAATGCTTTAAATCTTGCCTTCCAAGGAATTGCATGACAGGAGATAGAAAAGCTAGAGCCCTGGAGGCAGCCAAGGAGGAACTTGTCTCCAAGAGAAAGACTTACAGCTTAGCTTGCCAGGTGGTCTTCCAGGAGAGACCGGAGCTGAAACAGTGGTGATGGACAGGTCTAGACCTTGACCTGCACTGCTTAGTTAGCTATGTAAACCCTTCCCTCATGCTAGGACCCTGAAGACAAAGACTGAGGGCATTCACTGGATCTTTCTGGTCCTCTTACCAAAGTGGTCATATTAAATAAATCTCCTTTTTCCGCTCTTCACTATTAAAATAATAATAACAATAATAATTTGTTTTATAATATCAAAGGTGAAAACACTATGTTACCTATCAGCATAAAGAGTAGAAAACCCACCATTAAAGAGTGAGGTAATTTATGCATAAATCCTTTGGGGATGCTAGGTCATGTCTGGAAATAAAATTTAGAGGTTTGGTTTATCCAAAGTTATATGCATTGCCTTTCTTAGGCTATTAAAGACTCATTCTCAGCGTACCTCACCATGTTGCATTTACTCAAAGGGAACATGGGCAGAAGGTAGGAATGGAGACCCGGGAGGGGCTGAGAGCAAATTTTTCTATATGGCTTGTTTTTCTAGGAGAAGGAGATGGAGAAGCAGAAAACACTGTATCAGCAAGCGCGCTTGCACGAGCGTGGTGCCGCAGAGATGGTCCTTCAGATGATAAGTGCCAGTAAAGGTGATGTCCCCGTTTCTAGGTAGACCCCGGGTGGCTAGTGCAGAGCTAACACACCATGACCTAATGTCACATTGACAAGCCTGGAGAAAGCCCAGAAGGTATATACTTTATCACCTCCTTCCTTGGTGATTCAATCAAATCTTCACCCTGGCAGGTGAGATGAGCCCCATGGTGGTTGAGACGCTGAAGCTGGGGATTGCCATTCTGAATGGAGGCAATGCTGGTGTGCAGCAGGTAATGTGGCATCGGGGGATGGGGAGGAGTTCTTCCATTTGACAGGTCTCACTGAAAACATTTCATTTGTTCCAAGAGGGCCACCCACAGTTGTTTGACTGGTATTTGTCCATAGTGGCCAATTATGTTAGAAGAGCACAAATAAAAGACAACAGCTGGGAATCTGCATGCCCGTGTGTACTTAATAAAGAGGTTTGTACCTAGGGTTAAAGGAACAAGACACTGCATTTTCCCTCAGAGCTTCCTGCAGAATTGTAAATCCTTAGGATCTTTCTGAAGCCCTTTAACCTGTGAGCTGCTGTAGCATGAGAAACCACACGTCATTCACATACCTGTTACTCACTCACTTATTCCCTATTCGTTAAACAGTTGTTCACTGATTGCTGCCGATGCCAGGTTCTGCTGTAAAGGCTGAAGTTATTACAGTGAGCAATGTAGATAAGGTCCTCAACTGAAATGCTCAGGCTAGAGGATTTTGAGTTCATGACCAACTCAGGCTACAGAGTGAGTGTGACTCCATCTCATAAACCCAATGGTCAGAGAGATAGCTCAGTGACAGAGCACTTGCTTAACATGAATAAGGCCCTGTATTCAATTTCTCAGACCACAAAATAAAATAGCAAAACCTCCTAGCTCACTGAGTACATTCTAGTGAGCATAAAATGAGACAGTCATTATTCAGACAGCTGCTAGCCATTCATTCAGTGTCTGAATTGCAGCTGGTTGAAGAAGGTAGGGATGCATGAGTAGCTCCTGAAGCAGTGGTTCTCAGTCTGTGGATCGTGACCCCTTTAGCAAACCTCTTTCTCAAAGAATATTTACATTATGATTCATAACAGTAGTGAAATCACAGCTATGAGGAATCAATGAAAATAATTTATGATTGGGGAGGGGGTCACCATGGCATGAGGAACTATATTAAAGGGTCACAGCATTAGGAAGGTTGAGGACCACTGTGACCTGAAGCATCTCTGTGCACAAGAAAGTGAGTTCAAACAGAACTTTAATGTTCATAAAGGTATGTCCCAGAGCCTTTGTAAGTCTCTGAATTCGTAACTACCTTACATATAATGCTTTCTTAGTCTTTTAATCTTCCCAAGAAATTTTCTCATTAAGAATTGTCATTTTTCGCCGGGCGGTGGTGGCACACGCCTTTAATCCCAGCACTCGGGAGGCAGAGGCAGGCGGATCTCTGTGAGTTCGAGGCCGGGCTGGACCGATAGCCTCTGAAACAATACAGAGAAACCCTGTCTCGTAAAAAACCAAAAAAAAAAAAAAAGAATTGTCATTTTTCTTTATGGCATACTTTTTTCTTTCTTCTACTACCACATATCAGCTAACTAACTTGCAGCAAGGTCATTTTTTTAATACACAAAAATTTTCTGTCACACCGAATTCCTCCTTTCTAAAAACTGAGAGCACAGAAAAGAAAGTAAAAATGTCTGTGCTTCCCACCAGGCCCATTGCTGTCTGCGCTCTTGGTCCTGTAAACAATACTCATAGAAGGAGCAATTGCGATTATACCTCAGCAACAATAAACATTAAGACATCGCCGTCCTAACACCCATTTACAAAATAATAAAAGACTTCAAACAAGAAATCCATAAATTCCAAAGTCTACTACTCTGTGCCAAAATAGCAAAAGTGATAAGCCTTTATATAACAGAATGTGACTGCCCAAGTAGATGCTTTGACACACACGTATTTTTCTTTAATTGTTATTATTACATGTATGCATTCATATACACATATAAATGTAACCTGCTAAGTCTATTTAGTGTTGCCCAAATATATGCTTTTAGGGCTGATCACTTGGTATTGGATCACCTATCAAGGGATTCATCCTTGGGGAAGATTGATTCCCCCTCATTAATCGCCTATAGTCATTAATTGTTGTCCTTCATCTAGGGATAGGACCTTCTGAGATTTCCCCCAAATGGATTAGCATGTCATCTGGTGGTGATATTGTTCAGGCCTTCTTTGGGCAATCTATTGTTGAGATGCCATGGGTGAAGCTTCCCTATACTATAGAGAAGACAGTCTCCCAGCTAGCATCCTGGTCCCCTTACTCTTACAGTCTTTTGGCCTCTTCTCAGATGTTCCCTGAGCCTTGGTATAGAGATTATATTTTCTTAACTACACCAGTAATTCTTATGTGTATCCCTGAGTCTGATTTTGTGTGGTTCTGTGGCAGGGGATTTGCCATTTCTCCATTAGAGTTAGGAAGATCACCAGTTGTGACATAGTTTTCATTGCTTCCTTCTGAAATGTGTCTCCTTTGCAGAAAATGCTAGATTACTTAAAAGAGAAAAAAGATGCTGGATTCTTTCAAAGCCTTTCTGGTCTCATGCAATCTTGCAGGTAAGTATGGGGAAACCACTCAGCATTCTTAAAAACAATTTAGGAGAAAGGGATACAGAAAGAGGTATACAAAAATCAACTACCTTATCATGGAATTGTTGAGAAGATTCAGCAATTACCTACCTTAAAATCCTAGAGAATGGATAGTGTTCCCTGGCCTTCAGGATTACATTCAAACAACATTGAGAGAAGAAATAATGCCCCTCCGCCACAAACATCTGTGGTTTATCCCTTCCCTCCCTTTCCCTTATTTCCCCTTCCCCTTCCCTTTCCTCCATTCTTCTCTCTCTTCTCCCTCCCTCTGTCCCTTCCTCCCTCCCTCCTTCCTATGTTAGTTTTCCTTAAACATGCATACCTCCAAAGTGAAGCCAAGAAATACCAGCAAAGAGAAGGAATACCTCACTCTGACTGAAGGCTGTTTTCTTTCAACCCATGAGACAACTTGCAATCTTTTCCCCCTAACAATCCTTTGAGGCTGAATGGGTATTTGGTAAGCAAACACTCTGATGTATCCATTTTGACAGAGGTCCATTCTGGCATGGGAACAAAATTTTGATACAGACTAAAAGGCAAAGCATCAAATTACCAGTGATTTTACCATTTGTAAACTGCCCGTCATGGTTGAACCCACTCTTGAATAAATATCCAAAAGTCCTGAGGCCACCACACTAGCTCATTTTTAACATGGCTAACATTCTAAGCAAAGTATCAGAAATCGAAGTTACAATTACTTAATTCATTTGCTCCCAACTATCAAGAGTTAAGATTGAACATGATGTCTTCCATTTGGACATTTGGAGTATGAACATCCTTTCAGTAGACTCCATAATCTTGCCAATCTTATTTGATTGTATAAATCAAATAAATTAATTGTGCCCTGAGGCAACAAGGAGACTATCTGAGCTGCAGCAAAATCCCTTGTTGTTAGTGCTCTCTCTCTTTCTCTCTCCATATACATGTATATGTGTACACACACACACACACACACACACACACACACACACATATATATATATATATATATATATATATATATATCACTACAGCCTATTGTCTCTCAGGAAAAGAAAACGTAATATTGCCAGACCTGACTCACTGAAGATAGAGTGGCTCCCATGGTCTCAGGGATGGTAAAATCAAGACCACTGAGTTGTACTTTGCTCATGAAATCTCCATTAGGTCTCTAAGAGCTCTCCTGGCATGCTGCAGCACTCCATACTGATAACTTTGTTTATAACTATTCATGATGACAGCACAGAGTGACAAGTGACATACACTTAATTGCCGGATGACTCATCACAGAAGTTTTAAGGCACTTTAATGGGTTTGGCTATTACACAAATAATACATATCTGTGAAATACTTAAGCAGTAGGAAAACACAAACATTCAACATGGGTGCTTAGAGGATAAAATGGCACTGACTCAAAAGCAAAACTTCAAAGCAACGATGTCCAGATGTCCTTTCCTATGTTCACCTCCCCATCTGCCCCATCCCCCAACCCAGCACAGCAAAATCCAAATAGCAAAATAGTAGGATAATTTGGGGTTTTAAGCAGACCCATTTTTATTACACAGGCTGGGATGAGGAAACGACAAACTAGAGCCTGGAGAGATGTCAGAGGAAATAAGAGCTTTTGCAGAGGACCTGGGTTCAGTTGCCAGCACCCACTATGGTGGCTTACAACTATCCATAAATTCCAGTTCCAGGGGATCCCACAGCCTCTTCTGACTTCCATGGACACCAGGCATGTACATGGTACATGCAGGCAAAAACCTTGCACACAAAAATAAACATTTTTTAAAAAATTAAAAATAAAAACAACAAATGGAATAATAGAAATTTTGTCATTTTCTGTTTAAAATTCCCCCCAAATTTCAGAAAAGTCATGACTCCCCAAAAAGGAAAAAAATAATAGGAGTGCCAGTATCTCTCTAGTCTACAACCATGTCCTCCAAATACTAACAGAATTAAGGCAAGTGTTAGGTCACAGGCTCAGCCATGCATGTCCCTAAGAGCAATACCTTTATAAACTTTTTGCTCCAGGACAGTTTTCAGACCAGAGAAGGAATTAAACTGTTAGGAAATGCTTAACTTGGAAATCATCTGATCCCACAGTGTTCTCATTCCCAGCCCAAGTGGTTATACCGGAGCTTCTTGCCCCAACAAAACTTGACTGTAACAAGGAAAGTGGGAGAAAATGAGAACAAAACAATTGCCAATGTTTCACAAATTTGGGGACACCACTCGGCAGAAGGCTTAATCTTAGCTGCTACTGCCTTTTGAACAATGAATGAACCATAAAAGAGTGTGGCTTTTGACATCTTCAGTTTCTAGCTCTCCTCCAATCCTCATCCTAGACACTAAGAACCACAATTCCCTGTGATCTTTAGAGAAAGTAGCTGGGCAAGAGGTAAGCATTGAATGTAGTTTAAGAAATCTCAGAAACAACTCATCTCTTCCTGATTTGGGAAGGCTTTCTAAGTCTTCATCCATAAGGAAGGACTCAGATTGAACAACAATCATCACTTCTCTATACATATGACAAAGTCTGTGAGCTGTCACATCCATAAACCACAGTGCTTGGCACAAACTTAGCACAGGCTTCTTTAATCATGCTGTTATATATTGGTCTGTTTATGATAATAAAGAGACAAAATAGTCTTTGTAAATACATTGACATTAGAAATCTATTTTCCCAGTGTGGTTAGCCCTAAACCTTGTTTTCTTTTGTCAATTAAAAGCGTCCTTGATTTGAATGCATTTGAGAGGCAGAATAAAGCTGAAGGCCTGGGAATGGTTACAGAAGAGGGAACACGTAAGTAATTAATGAACGCCAAGGTCATCCCATTTCTGGTTGAAATCTCAACTCTTTCTGATCAGAACCTTTGCATGCAATTTCTAAGTCTGCAAAGAATTGTTCCACTTAAGCAAAAACATTTCTATCTGCAGCATTGCTAAGGCCAGCATCCAGGCTGGATGTGTTCATAGAGATGGTTGTAATTGAAGAAAGTTTGTTACAGTGTTTATGTGCTTCTTACTTTGTTTTTTTTTTCCTTTTATTACCAGTCATTGTTCGTGAGCGTGGTAAGTGGGAGTCTCTAGCCTGAGTGCCTACCATGTGTGCAAATCCTAAGAGATTGGATTTATTGCTTTGGTACAGACTCATCTTAGGTTTGGTGGCTGCATGTCGGGTTTAACCCAGCAGTTTGATGCTTAATTAAAAGAAGTGCCTTTTACCTGTAAAGCATGGGTTATTATGGCCTGTGAACCACTGGCTGCTGTTGTCCTAGTTGTTCTCATTATATGATATATCTTGGGGCTAAACAGTTTACTGTTTGGGCTGTGTACTCTGCAGCATTGGCTCTCAATTAGTTGGGCTTATCAACAGTAGTCCAAAGGTCCTTTTCCAAACCCTTTGTCATTTTTGGAATCATTTGCATTAGAAGTTATTCCTTGTTGAGAAGCCATGCAAATACTGATGTGTGTGTTATGTTTTTAAGGTGAAAAGGTACTCCAGAATGATGAGTTCACACAGGATCTCTTTAGATTCCTTCAGTTGCTTTGTGAAGGACATAACAGTGGTGAGTGCAAACAACTGACTAGTCAGGGGAAAACAGCATTTGTGTGCACAGTTCTCTTTCAGTTCAGTGGACTCCGCTTGATTCAAATAGTTGCTTTCTGTCCTAGTTACTGTTCTGTGACTATGAAGAGACACCATGACCAAGGAAACTCTTATTTTGGGACTTGCTTAAGTTTTAGAGGGTTGGTCTATGATCATCATGGTGGGAAAAAGACAGGTATGGCACTGGAGCAGTAGCTGAGAGCTTTATATCCTGACCCACAGACAGTAGGCAAAGAGAGCAATGCTGGGCCTGGCATGGGCTTTTTAAACTTCAAAGTTCACTCCTGAAGACACACCTCCTCCAACAAAGCCACACCTCCTAATCCTTCCCAAACAGTTCCACTAACTGGTCACCAAGCATTCAAACATTGGCGGGGGGGGGCGGGGGCAGCATTCTCATTAAAAACCACCACACTATCCAAATTCATCTAGTCTTTAGTAAGAAAGGCTATATAAAATGACTTATGGCTGCTATTATTTAGTGTCACCAAGGCTAAACCACTCCCAGAATCACCACTCCTTTCATATCTCCTCTTGTACCTCATTGTGTTTTAGGTGTCACAAGGTTGTCTGGGCTCACAGTAGAACAGGATCTGTGAGGTCCCAAATATATTATCTCTGTGAGTCTTGCCACGTCTAAGCTCAGCTAAGAGGGTGCCCCTGACTCCCTTTGGTATAACGGGCCTTCATTCTGACCCAGCACTGGTATTCTCAGACTTTCAGAACTTCCTGAGGACTCAGATGGGCAACACCACCACTGTGAACATCATAATCAGCACTGTGGACTACCTTCTGCGTCTGCAGGTGAGTTGGAACCATAGGCCATGGTGTATGTCATCTACAGTTAACACAAGTTAGCAACAGCTATGTAGAGCCAGGGAGGCCCAGGATGCAGATGTTCCTCAACAGAACTGTATCTGATAAACCAGCCATATGGTGGAGATTCATTTCATGGACCTAGCTACCAAACATTGTAGTTTAATGAGATGATACACTATAGTATTTTGGTTGTTTACTCTTGAGATTGTGCGGTTCATCCTGAGCTATCATTCATGACTCCTGACTATGGGAGAACATCACACCATAAAGAGGTAGCTGAAAAAAACAATACTCAGAATTTCAAGTACAATTTCAACTGAATCTATGTCACTTTCACACCATTGTTAAATTGAAAACTTATGCATTAGACCTGCATATGTCAGAGAATGTTTATATAGTCTGACCCTCAAACGAGTTGTAATCTATGTCCCCACACTTAAGGGAAGTTTTAATTCCTAAAACATGTGTTCAAAGACAAAGTTAAAGGACTATTAATTATGAAAGTATCTGTTATAAAAGCTAGGTTTAGGTTAGTGTTGTCAGTGAAGACCCAGCTAAGGGGCCAAGAAAGAATGATTATTCATAGGAATAATCATGATTATCTTCAGTGGACATGGCTCACTTTGAATGTTGTATATCATAGTCTCCCAGACACTAAAGACTGTGTGGCTTCCTTATGTTCCTCCCTGTGGAAAACTATGTGTCCATCTCTGTCCATCTTCACAGCTCCTGTCATAGCAGAGGTGTAGAGATATGGGATTCCTCTAAATTCTTCTTGTCCATTGAGTTTAACTTCCTTAAATGCAGCCCAAGAAATGTCAAACTCTACTGTTTGCTTTTAGGAATCAATCAGCGATTTCTATTGGTACTATTCAGGAAAGGACATCATTGATGAATCTGGACAGCACAATTTCTCTAAAGCTCTGGCAGTCACCAAGCAGATTTTTAATTCTCTTACAGAGTACATCCAGGTAGGTGCTAACGAGGACAGAAGTGACAGCAAATAGAACATTTTTAGCATCCTCATTTTCTGTATTCTCTAAAGAGTATTTGGATGCACATAGTGCTTGGCCTATGTACTCAGCCCCAAATACTGACATTATTTCTTATCTAGAAAAAGGAACCATTTGTGCCTGTGTCTGTGAGAACCTATACTCTGTGATCCCTACTGGGACCTGTTCATGGTGTTATCACACTTTATTTTAATTTACATCACTATATTTTGCTACCCTTTCTAGACTGACAATTTTAAATGAACAAAAAATATATTCGCTTCAAAATTCTGATTATGTATCAATATCTGATGTTCTATAAGCATGAAGAGTGAAGTAGAGAAACTATTTATGGAATTATAGAACAATGGCATAAGTGATATCCTAGTAGGGATTTAAAAAAATTAGAAACAGAATCCAGCCTACCTATGACTACAACCCCAGGGTTTAGGAGGCTGAGGCAGGAGGATCTTGAGTTTGGAGCTACTCTGGGCAATACAATGAGTCTCTGTCACAAAATCAAATAAGCAACAATAACAATCCAGAATCTCTGAGCTCTTATTATGGAAGAAGTAATAACAGGTGGATTTCAGGGTGAGTGCCTTAATTTTCTAGTATTCTTTCTTTCCATAACACCTTCTATTCATTTCCTACAACAGTCTACCTACTGTCAAGAGATGAATGATGTATGTAGGTAAACATGTCTATATAATCAGTAGCCATATCAGCCTTCTGTGATATAAGATTTTGAAGCATAATTGAGACTTCATTTTTATGTTATAATAACCAGAAAAATCATGAATATTTGCTCATTTGTCTGTGTTCTCTTCTTAGTTCCTAGGAAGAATATATTGTCTCTACCATGAAAGAGCTTATAATGTAGTTGAAAATACATATACATAATGAAAAATATTTGATATGAGATGATCACATATACTTTGAAACAATCATATGTATTATGCCTCAAGTCATAATTATTATGCACTAAACATGTAGAAATGGAATTGAGGATAGCCTCAACAACATACTGACACTCAGAGTCTGACAACAGAGAAATTTTAAACACATGTATGAGTTTAATGGAAGACAAAACTCTTATGAACCTCAGGGCTAAGTGTTGTCACAGAGACATACAGACTCTAGATAAATAAAGAATGATGTATATTGGTCTTTTGGAGAAGTCATGGAGACAGTATTGTAAGAGACTTCATGAAGAATAGTGTCAAATAGTTATTTCAGTTTGTTGTAACTGAAGAAACAAGGAAAGACATGAGCAATGTCCCATCCCCTTCCTTGTGTACCTTCATTTCCTTCTTGCCTCATTCTCTAAGTCAAAAGTAAATCTCAGAGTGTGGCTCTTTTTTTATATCGTGGAGTTGAAATATGTTCTATGAAAAACATTATCTGGAGGATAAGGCAGGGTGATCACAAGTTTAGAACCAACCTCGGGTAGAGAGTGGGTTCAAAGACAGCTATGTTAAGGAAATCCTGTCTCAAAATTCAGCAGTAGAGTGACTGCCTTGTATGTGTGAGGCCCTAGATTCAATCCCCAATATGGAAGGAAGGGAGGGGGGAGGGAGGAAAGAAAAAAAGGAGAGAGAGAGAAGGGGGGCAATTAGATTTTCATCCAATATCCATATCATGAGGAACTAGTTCCCTCAGATCTTATTCATAGAAAAACATAAAACTTAGTATACTACCTGAAATTTTGAATTTTTTATGTAGCAGAGTTAAACTATTAAAATTCAAAACAAAAAAAGAGAGAGGGGCTTCACTAAGTAAAGGACAGTACTATCCCACCCAAGGGTACAAGGGTAGTTATAGGAAGGAGAAAGTTATCAACAAAGAGATTTCTCCTGAAGTACTTAATACAAAAAAGAAGCTTGCATTCTGTAAATGCATATTTCTTTCAACAACCAGTTTTGTTCCAAAATGAACTCATTGGCCTCTGGGGACAAGAAATTGAACATAGATAAACAGTGATTTGGGATAAAACAGTATGATTTGGGAAAGTAAACAAGATTTCTTCTCAACTTTCTCTTGACAGTCCTACCGGGAGTCCCATTCTAGAGGTGTAGTATGAGTGCCCTTTTTGGATATTTCTTATTGAAGAGAAATTTGGAGATTGGTTAAAGTTAAAAAAAAAAGAGCAGACTATGATGGAGAGTTAATAATAATCATAAATAGGAAGGTTATTATCATGGAAATGCAAACTGGTAACTAAGTCATCCCACATTTGGCTTTGAGAAAAAAATATCTGAGATGGTGTTTATATCTGATGTTTACATTAGTATGAAAATCCTAGAAGTAGTTGATCACTGGGATTATTACTAAGATTCTAAACCTCGATTAGTCAGAGGTCATAACACTTATGTGTAGCTTTTCTTGAAAGCAACAGGTGGTAGATTACATCTGGTTTACATACTGTGGTCTCCAACACCCTTGATTTCCTTAGAAGGCCTTCCAGTGAAAGAAATGGGTTAATAGAGTGTAGAGTAACACCCTTCAGCTCTGCTTTAACTATAATATTTAACTATTTTGTTAACTATATTCTTCCATTCTGAAGCTAAAAGATAATCAGTGGGCTGTGAAATCCACATTCCTCCCCCACCCCACCCTTAGATAGACTTTCCTATAATTGGGAAGAATGGAAAGTATCCTGGGAAAATACTGAAGCAAAAAAATACATGAATTTGGAAAGCACTGCCCTTTCAAATGCCCTCCTAGGACAGGCTCTGAGTAACTCTCCTCTCTCCAGGGCCCTTGCATCGGGAACCAGCAGAGCCTGGCTCACAGTAGGCTGTGGGATGCAGTAGTTGGATTCCTCCATGTATTTGCTAACATGCAGATGAAGCTCTCTCAGGTACTGTGGCCTGTTCCCCTACATACTTCATTACTGTGAAATGTTGGATTAATTCTTGCCCTTTGGACTTCCCTCATGGATGTGGCTGCTTAATCAAAGGCTGGAAAAGCCAAGCAGATTAGGTCTCATTCTTAAAACTGAGGACCAAAATGGGAAGCAGGGATGAATGCCTGGGGGTGGGGAGATCCCAGAGGGGCTTTTGCATGAATGCAGCTTCTTCCTTCCTTATGTCCCACCAACCTATTATTTTGTAACTGCCTCAACACTGCTTTCCATGGTACTAGTCCCCTTCCTTGTCATTGTCTTATCATTTTAGAATACTATGCACCCACCTTTCTCACCTGCCAAGTGTTGCATGTCTCTGTCACCCACAAATGCTCCTCCCTTCCCCCCACCCCGCTTCCCTTTCTTCCCCATCTCTACCTCCACTGCTCCCCATCTCTCTGGCAAGATGAATCAGAATCACTCAGAGCATTTATTATGAACAAATAAATGTAGCATATGCAGCAGCTGATCACCTCTCTCCATGGCAACACATGAGGGAGCACTTCAAGATGTGTTTCAGACTGATTAGAGAGACATTTGCAGCATTAATTTAAATAATGTACATCCAAAAATTTCAAGGCTATCATACCTGCCTCCTCTCTTTTGGAATGTGCTGTGTAACCCTTCATTTCTTTCCCCTTTTGACTCTGGCCTTACGGGAAGAGAGTTCTGGGGGGACTACTAATTTGGCAGTAACATGTCCATATCTGTGTCAACCATGACAGTGTGGTCTAGAGGTTCTGGAGACCACATCAGTGACTTTTGGAAACTTATGCACCACTTCTGGCTTTTGGTTTCATCATCTATAAAATACCCACGGTTAGAAGGAATAGCCTCTGAGGCCTCCTCTCAGGTCTAATACTCTGTCCTGCTATGTTTTTATCTTTCTTTCAAATGTAGCTGTGGCACACAATGGGTAGGAAAGTGTCCCTCAGGAATCTAAATAGCTAGGCAAAGAGGTATGTTTTTTCATAAGAGAGACAAAGAATCTGTAAAAGAAGGGTGGCCCTAAGAACGTTTTCAAAATTACCTTCAGATTGCTGTGCTAAGCATCATTTTCTAATTTTGATTTCACCCTTAGATAAGGTCTTCATATTCCGTCCTATACATGCCAAAGGGCTTGCAGCACAGAGCTTGCCCCTCAGTGCTCTGCCTGTCTTGCTTGAATGAAAACAAAACAACATCAAGACCAACCAGAGGAGCATGCTGTGCTTACATATTATTTTAAGACCTCAGTGACACCCTGATCACCACCAACTAAGCTAGGTTAAACTAATCCACAAAGAAAGGAGAATCTACTTGGTAATCCAGTGTTTCCTTGTGACAAAAATATGTCCCATGAAGCTCATGGAGGTAGTCCTCCAGTATAGAACATGACAAAGTAAACTTGAGAAGGTACCTGATGACTTTTCAGTGGATGGGGCTGTTAGGTTGTGTCGAGTAACAGTCAGTATGTCTGCCATAGGATCGCTGATGGATGAATCTCCCTGCACTACAGGCAATGGGTAAAGCCACCTTCACTCACAGCAAGAAGGGAGCTCATTCGTGACTTTGATGCAGCCTTCACCTAACCTTCCCAGAGCAGGCTCTCCTTGCTCACTGCTCTGGACTTTGCTAAGGGATCAGATAGCTCAGGGTATCTCCTGTTTCTGTTCTAGGATTCCAGTCAGATCGAGCTGCTGAAGGAACTCTTGGATCTCCTTCAGGACATGGTGGTGATGCTTCTGTCCCTACTGGAAGGTTGGGCTGTTTGGTATAACTAGGCATTCACATGGTTGTCATTGGTCTGAGCACTAACCTTACTAATCGCACAGATTAGCCTTCTGGCAGGTCACTGATGTCATAAGGCATTGGTTAGAATGTCAAATTTTCAGAAAGAAAAAAAATGAGTGAGGGCCATATGGTCTGATGGACAAAGCCTGACACCAACTCATTTGATGCCAATAGGAAAGCCAGAATGAACTGGGGAAAACTTCCAAGCTTTGCCCCTTCCTATCCTCTCCCTCTCCCCATTGCTTTTCAACACATCTGGCTGCCAGTGTGTATGCCAGCCATCTAACTGGTCAAAGGGGATCAAAGGGACACCATGTATCCCTATGTATTCTCAGAGATCTGACAGTGGAATGACCTCCTAGGCCATGGTATGGCCATTTCCCTCTTGCCCTGGTTTCTTCTCCCTTGGCTCCTGGTGGGGTAGTTGTTATGGCTTGCTTCTCTCTATTGTCAAATCATCATGGTCAGAAATGAACTGATTAATTTGGCACATAAGTCTCCTAAAAAGAGCTATCTGTCTAGTTACATGATAGCTTGGGTTCATTTATGTATTTGTATGTCTTTTTGAACCTGCCTCACAGGAAATGTGGTAAACGGAACTATTGGAAAGCAGATGGTTGACACACTGGTAGAATCTTCTACTAATGTAGAGATGATCTTGAAATTCTTTGACATGTTCTTGAAACTTAAAGACTTAACCAGCTCAGACACCTTCAAAGAATATGACCCGGATGGTAAAGGGATCATCTCCAGAAAAGAATTCCAGAAGGCCATGGAAGGTCTAAAGCAATATACACAGTCAGAGATTGACTTTCTCCTTTCATGTACAGAAGCTGATGAGAATGACATGTTTAATTATGTTGATTTTGTGGAGAGGTTCCATGAGCCAGCCAAGGACATAGGCTTCAATGTGGCAGTGTTACTGACAAATCTCTCTGAACACATGCCAAACGATTCTCGCCTGAAGTGTCTACTGGACCCAGCAGAAAGTGTGCTAAACTACTTTGAACCATACCTGGGTCGAATCGAGATCATGGGTGGGGCCAAGAAAATTGAGCGTGTTTATTTTGAGATCAGTGAATCCAGTCGAACTCAGTGGGAGAAGCCTCAAGTGAAGGAATCCAAGCGGCAGTTCATCTTTGATGTCGTCAATGAAGGCGGGGAGCAAGAGAAGATGGAGCTGTTTGTGAACTTCTGTGAGGACACCATCTTTGAGATGCAGTTAGCATCGCAGATCTCAGAATCTGACTCAGCTGACAGACTGGAAGAGGAAGAGGAAGAGGGTGAAGATTCTGCTTATGCGATAGAAATGGAGGGGGAGGAGGAGGAAGAGAAGACTTTTGAGTCAGCCTCTGCCTTTGCGGTGGCCTGTGCCTCAGTAAAGAGAAACATCACCACCTTTCTGAGGAGGGCAACCCTGAAGAACCTCAGGAAGCAGTACAGGAATGTGAAGAAGATGAGTGCGAAGGAGCTGGTGAAGGTGTTCTTCTCTTTCTTCTGGACACTGTTTGTGGGCCTCCTTCACTTGCTCTTCTCTGTCTTGGGAGGGATCTTCCAGATCCTCTGGAACACAGTGTTTGGAGGGGGGCTTGTGGAAGGGGCAAAGAACATCAGAGTGACCAAGATCCTAGGCGACATGCCTGATCCTACCCAGTTTGGCATCCATGATGATGCAGTGGAGGCTGACAGGGCAGAAGTGATTGAGCCGGGTGTCACCGCTGAGCTGGTCCACTTTGTAAAGGGTGAGCCAGGAGATACAGATATTATGTCAGACCTCTTTGGAATCCACTCAAAGAAAGAAAGTGGCTTAAAACAAGGGCCTGAAGTGGGATTGGGTGACCTCTCTGAAATCATCGGCAAGGATGAACCCCCTACATTAGAGAGTACTGTGCGGAAGAAAAGGAAAGCACAGGTAAGCATAATCCTTGTCTGTCACCCTTGGGCCCATATGACTACAACTATATCTTGCAATCAGTACATGGTTGGCACAGGTAATAACACTGCACTAATGCTGCTTCACTCTGCCAGTCCAGATTCACCAGGTATGGGGACATTGCGTTTTAGATGAGTGTTTCAGTGTTTTGCCATCAAGAGGACTTCTAGTCTATATGTAGAGCTTGAACATACGATGATTTGAAACCTTCACCTGCTTCAGACTTTTATTAGGTAGTGTTGGTGGTGCACAGGTTGATTCAGTGAAAGCATAGAAAACCAAGTGTAATGCATAAGGATATTTCTAATGAGGCATATTTCTATATAATATATATATGTATACATACATACATATTATGAGGCAGCATTTCTATATACCCTGAAAGCTCTGATGAATTCCATTTCACTGAAGCTCTATAATAGATATGTTCTGTTTCCTTTGCTAACTCTATAATCCCAATAGATAAGAGTTTCATTATCCGGAAAGATTACTAAACTCTAACACTTAGCAACTTCATATGATATTGATGATGATAATTACTACTATTTATTGACAGCATATTATGCCAGTGAGTCTGATCGTGCCTGGAACATTTTTATCATCAGGGCTTTGAGTCAGTCAGCTAGATCAAATGGATAAGACAAAAGTAACTTAGAGGCCATTGGACACAGGATGTTCTGGATGTTCCCTTCTCTTGCAACATCCAACTCACCACACCACTTTAGCATCAAAGGAGGAAGTGAGGTTGCAGACAAAGACCGTATCACATCCATTCATTAATTCCATTGTCACCTATTGACATGTTAACAGGCACATGTCACTGTTCTGAGGTGTGAGAGTGATAGCAGAGCAAGCCTTTTTCCTTGTAATTTTATAGAAGACAGTCATTGAACAAGTTGGTGCAAATAAGTATGCTAGAAAGGAAATATTGAGAAATGAAGGAGAGGTGTGAAGAGCCAGGGAGGGAGGCAACAGCATAGGTGTTCTTATATTTTGCGTCACCTTTCTGTCTCATGACACAGAATCATTTGATAAAGACTAGAGATTAACTCAGGTACCACATGCACAAGACTATGTTCTGGTTAACAAAATAATAAGTTTACTTTCATGGAACTTAGTCTTTAGTGGGAAAAGATAACAAGAAGATAATTACCATTGGTGATGTTTGTTCAGGTTAATAACCAAACTAGTGGGTTAGAAGGGACATGATGTAACCATCTAGGTCAATTCCTGATAGCATTTACTATAAACTGGGCAGCCAAAACAGCTCCTGAAAAAATATGATTTGAGCCAAATCCCGAATCTTTATAGACATATGGAAAGTCAGGGTTTCATGATCCAGGCAGAGGGCCAGACTACTGAAAAGGATCCAGACTCCTTGCCATGGGAGGAAAGTTTGAAGCATTTGAATGGAAAACAGTAAGTCAATGATGGAGAGAAAGTCAGGACCCTACAGGATAGGCTGGCCTCGCTGAGGAGCTTGCTTTTACTCTGAGTGCAGTGGCTATCAGGGATGACCTGTGTCCTTCCTCCCTCCTGCTTCCATAGGGCTCCTCGAGGTTTAAGTATAAGTTTCCTGCTTGAGTTGAGTAAATAATGGGGGGGTGGACACAAGTGAATTTTCAGGTTTGAGATCTGTCTCAGCATCTCTACATAGCAGCAGGTTAGATGTACAGCAAGATACTTTACAACCTGTAATCCTGAGAGAAGCTGAAACGGGACACACACACTCACACACACACACACAGACATGCTCTCTCTCTTTCTCCCCTCTCTCCCCCCTCTCTCACACACACACACACTCATACACACACACTCACAGACATGCCCCCACACACACACACAGAGGTACTAAGTCTTGTAGTTCATCCTGGACCTGTCTCTCTAAGGAAACCTTGACTGGTTGCTGTTTTTTGCTCTAGGCAGCAGAGATGAAAGCAGTGCGTGAAGTAGAAGGAAAGGCTGAATGGGAGAAGGCTGAGTAAGTTCCTGGGGGTGTGGGCTACTCTGCCTGCTATGCTGGATAATGTTTGATGGCAGCTGCCATTCTATAACTGTGGGAAATAGAAAACCTCACTTCTATCAGCGCAAGCAAAGGTAGTCTACAAGCCCTGGGCATATTTATTTTTTAACCTCAGCTCTATAATGCATTTATTTTATTTTGTTTTTCAAGACAGGGTTTCTCTGTATTGTTTTGGAGGCTGTCCTGGAACTTGCTCTGTAGACCAGGCCGGCCTCGAACTCACAGAAATCTGCCTGCCTCTGCCTCCCGAGTGCTGGAATTAAAGGCGTGTGCCACCAACGCCCGGCGTATAATGCATTTATTAATGTTATAATTTCAATAGTATATCAGGATTTCATTGACAGAACAAATTATCAAACATCCACTTTTAAAAACTTCACATAACGGTGGTGGTGGAGGATCTGTGATTATTGAAAAACTACTATATGGCAGGCCTGTACTTTTAGACATCACATTTAATTCCTGCCCAAGTTGGTGGGAGTAGGTACCACCGCTAATCCTAAAAGGTTTACTTAGTAAGGAAAAAACATTTTGAAGGGGGAAAAAAGGAGTTGTTAAGTGTAATTCCTAAACAGCACAAACTCATATGATACCCAGTGTATACACTGGATCATCAAAATGGTCACTAGTTATTGAATATGGATTTCATGCCCAGCGAGTGGTTTGACTCTTAAGGGCCAAGCTTCTCCTGCCTTTCTCCTACATGCTGAGTCAGCATCTCACCCTGCAGCATGGAAGACAGAGAAAAGGAGGACAAATTCAAGGAGGAGGGACAAGCTGAGTACCTGTGGGCAGAAATGACCGCGAAGAAGACACGACGGCGTGGCCAGAAGGCTGACAAGCCGGAAGCCTTCATGGCCAATTTCTTCAAAGGCTTGGAAATCTATCAGACTAAGTTACTGGTGAGTTCTCTGACCATTGTCCCTTCCTTCTAGAGGCACTAGTCTGGTAGATCTCAGAGAGCTGGCCACTGATTTGTGTCACTTTTCCTTAGACACGCGTCCTCTGCTTCCTTATTCCCATTCTTCTCCTCCTTTTGTTTATCTTCTTTTTTCTCTTGTGTTGAAGGAAACAGGGGCTTACCTGGACACCACACCCAAACATTTTCACAGGGACTTAGCTGATTGTGGTCCAACAATTCAGTAGATCAATCAACTGGGATAAAGAATAAAGTCTCCTGTGTTGGGTTATGTTGCTCAATTAGCCCCCCAAACATCGTTGCTGTAGGTACAAGCAAACTTCAGTATAGTGTGTAGTGTTCTTTTTCTGACCAGTTGCCCCCTGAGATTCACTTGCTGCTCACCCAGGAATACACCTTAGCTGGCACCATCAGTGACGCCCCATGCAGTGTCAAATTCTCCCCAGCTGCTGTAGGTCCATCCTCTGGGTGCTGAGTTTTCCGGGGAAGATGGCAGTGAGGAGAATGGTACACTCCGAGAAAGTGAGTGAAGGAGGTTTCTAGGGCCGTGACTCAGAAAGGGCTAAGAACTCTGGGCCACAGTCCGGCTGCATCGTGTACAGGGGAGGGGACTGCTTGACTCTCTGCTGATGGCATGCTGAGAGATCTGGTTTACTAGGACACGGTTCAAGATACGGTTCTTTTGGACATTGTCTTAAGCCATTTTTAAATAATCCACATTTCTGGTTCCCCTCAAACAACTTGTGGTTGTGCTAACAAGACCAGGGCTTCCCTAGAAGAATGGGAGCTGAGACATAGATGTCTCCCTGTAACCTCTACCCAGGGCACATTTCCAGTATCAGACAGGGCAGTTCTCCTTCCTACCCTTGGCTCCTCTACCTCTGCTTATCCTTTTCTTTTCAGCACTACCTGGCCAGGAATTTCTACAACCTGAGGTTCCTTGCTCTGTTTGTAGCCTTCGCTATCAACTTCATCCTGCTTTTTTATAAGGTGATACTTCATTGTGGGGTTATTTGCAAAATAGACAACAGACTAAGCATGCTATATGTGGGGAAAACTATAACCAAAACTGTTATTCTTACTTGGAACAAACATTTAATGTCTAAGGAAAGAAGACACTGACCTTGAAAAAAATATACAATATTTAGCATGGGAGGAATGCCGACAAGAGAAGCAAATTAGGAAACTGTTTCAACTATTTGGATTCCTGTTTGATTTAATCTCCAAATATCGAGCATATCCGATATGCTAGATGCCATGGCAGGAACTATGGAACATTTTGAAATAAATAATGAATACAGTTCTTTCCTTGAGGAACAGGATAATCATAGGACCCATCAGTGTTGACACATATGAGAAACCATCATGAAAAAATAATTAGTAAGCATTAGGAACAGAGGGTCCCCTCACCATAATTGAAGGCTCTGAACATGGATGAATGGGTATTGCATGAATGGATGTTAATGGAGCAAAGACTGGTCCTAGATTCTTGACATAGTCTGCTTTTCCCCGTCTTTATTCTGGTTTTTGATTAAAACCAGCAATCCAATTTATTATAAAGCAGTGTTTTGTCTACATCAATCAACCTTCAGTTTAACAAATTATGGACTTTGGTTGCCCAGAGAAGAAAAGTGGTAATCTATAGTAAGGTATGTGTAGTTGGTTTAAACATAGTGAGGGGAATCCATCCATCCAGGTAGACACAGCCAGCAGGCATTTGAAGCTACAAGATAAAAGCTTGAGAGGCATAGAACTGAGAGTCACTTGTAGAAACAGAAGGGGAAGCCATGAATAAGAGGGAGAATGGAAACTACAGAATGTGTATGAATGTACTTGAGCTCTACATGGACCTGTTGCAGCCTTCTCCTTCACCATGGGACTACAACACAGATAATAAAAGGCCCATACTTTGTTTGCATTCTTTTCAAGAGATAGGATTTGTCTCTACTTAATTCTTATTTACAACTATTAGAAACACTGGGGATTCTTATCAGTAAGTTACCTAAAGGACCCATTTACTCAGCAGGTAACATTGCATGTATTAATAACATAAACTCTATAGGGAGAGCCCAGTGACTTAGGCTCCTTCTGATAGATATGGGTGTGTGTCTTGGGCCAGGTCACTGAAGAACCTTTAGAGGAGGAGACGGAGGATGTTGCAAACCTGTGGAACTCCTTTAATGATGATGATGAGGAAGAAGCGATGGTGTTCTTTGTTCTTCAGGAGAGCACGGGGTATATGGCACCAACACTGCGTGCCCTGGCCATTGTCCACACCATCATCTCTCTGGTCTGTGTGGTGGGCTATTACTGCCTGAAGGTGAGCACTCTAACCATCTGTCACTCTAGGCTTTTCTGACTTCTTCAGGAAGAAGTGTCATTTTTGAGTTCCACCAGTTCTTTGTCCTCTAAGGTGCTAGAAGAACAAGGCTGGTGGGACAGTACAAGTGCTGTCACTCAAGCTGCTTATAACCGCAGGCGCTCAATCACCAACTTGAGGCTTTGAAATGAAACTCTGTGAAGTGAGCTATAGACAATCCTGCTGTAGAAGTACTTCAAGCACCTCTTAGTATCAGAGTCAGTAGGCTAAGGCACAAATGAAATTAGCCATGAGAACTTCTTGTGGTCTGTGAGTTGCTCATAGGTTTTTATAAAAAGTACCTTTCCATTAGGTTGTAGCCATTTGAGACCCAAGATGGATCTCAGTTGTGTGTTCCTGTTTCAGTTATATACAGTAACAAACCACTCCAGAGTTTGGTGTGAAGAACCATCATTTTCTCTCTCAATCCTATTGACTGACAAGAGTTGATTCATGTTCTATGTGAAAGGGCTGTGTCTGCAGCCTTTTGGGATCTCAAATAGGTGAGAATGACAAAGATGGAGTAGGAGTTCATCTCCCCTCTCTCCATGGAGACACAGAGCATCTCTCTCACCACATGGCCTCTCCCTGCAATCTCTGCAGCAGGACAGACTTCACATATGGATGACTTAGAATTTCCTAAGGAACACAGAAGTGTAAATGCTAGCCCCTCTTAAGAATTAGACCTGGAATTAGCCACATTGTCAGTGTCATTTCCATCGCCCTCTATTGGTTAAAGTCACATGATGACTCAGATTCACAGTTGCATTTGTAGGTTGCTCATCTTTAGACACTACTGCAGGTACATCAATCTTCAATCACTGAGTTTTGTGTTCTCTGTTCGTTTCTGTAGACCATGATTGTATGCTACTTTTCTTGTTGCTGTAAAAATATTTGTCTTCTTTTGGATCACAGTTTGAGTGTACAGTCCATTATGGTGGGGAAGGTATGGCAGTGAGAGATGGTCTAAGCTGTGGTAGCAGGAAGGTGAGGCAGCTGGTCACATTACACTCACAGAAAACAGCAAATTCTGGTGATCCACTCACTTTCTCCTTTTTATTCAGTCCAGGACCCGAACCCATAGGATAGTGCCACCTACTTTCAGGGTGTATCTCTCCTATCGGTTAAACCTCTCTTGAAACTCCTTTACAGTCAGGCCTCAAAGCATCTTCTTGTGACACTAAGTCTTGTCACGTTGACAATAAAGGTTAACTAGCACACCAATTTTATAGTTTATTTTTATTACATTTTCCCCTTTAATTTGTTATGTAGGTATCATCCTTAACTATACACTAAGTTATCTTCTTGGAAAGAATTTAAGAAATTTATCCTATCTTTGCATCCCTTTCTTTTACTGGTGAAATAGCATCATGTGAGAACTCCATCTTCCCTCCCAGAGAGAACATGTCCTTCCCTGCTATACTGAGTCTGGCACTGTAACTATTAAAGTGTGGACTCTGGAGCCAGGCTGACTAGATTGAACTCATAACTGTTGTCCCATGTGACCTTCCTAGTGCTGTTTATACATCAAAAAATGAGTATTAGAATAATAACTGACATTCTGGGAAAATAAATGAGTTCATATGTACAAAAATACCCAGAAGCATGTTTGCTATTTCTGGATCTGGAATCCAAGAGCTTGTGGGATGAGGTGCAAATATACTGTTGACATGTAGAAGACATAGTGGATTAAAATTAAAAATATGTACAAATACCTTGGACAAAGCAGAATGCTTGGAGTCCCAGATATCAGTAGTAGACTACATCTTGACTTTCACGTCATTTTCTAGAGTCTTCCAGACAGCAGAGAAGCTTCTGTTCTGTTTCCCTGCCCACATCATCCGTGAGCCAGCAGCAGCCACCGATTCTTCATGGTGTGTCATGCCTAATATTAGTCTCTTTACCACCTTTCTATCATTGGTCTTTAGTGTTGGCTGCTATTGTTGGGGGGCAGGGGGCAAAGGGGCAAGAAGTAAGTTTTTACAAATAATTCTTGCCCTTTTGTGTCAGAAATAGCAAAGTGTGATATGAATGTAATGACCTTTGAGGAAAAACATTAAAACATAGTTTAGAAATTAAAGTCCCAAAGATGTCACCAAGTAATTAGAGGCATCCTAAAGGAATGAGATACCCAGGCAGTGTCTAAAAGATTATTACTTATTTTCTTTGCTAGAAGAGGTCTGGCTATTCTGACTCCTCATTTCCTGTTATTTCAATGGCATTTTCTGACCACACTAGACTACATAGTGAATTTTAGACCAGATTGGACTACATAAATGAGATCCTGTCTTTAAAGAGTTACAGTTATATACCACATCCACCCACCTACCCCATTAATTCATGGTTTCAGCTACTCTCAGTAAACTGTGGTTCAAAAAATTAAGTAAATGTTCAACAAATAAACAACATACAAATGTTAAATTGTCATTTTTTTTGTTGTTGTTTTTCGAGACAGGGTTTCTCTGTATTGTTTCAGAGGTTGTCTGTTTCAGAGATTGTCCTGAAACTCACTCTGTAGACCAGGCTGGCCTCAAACTCAGAGATCCGCCTGCCTCTGCCTCCCGAGTGCTGGGATTAATGACGTGTGCCACCAATACCCAGCTAAATTATGTCATTTTAAGTAGTAGGATGAAACCATATACAGTTCTATTCTGTCCTATTTGGAACATGAATCACCTCTTGTCCAATGTATTCACATTGTATACTCTCCCCACTTGCTAGTCCCTTAGCTCTCTGTTATCACATTGACTGGCAAGATCACACAGTGCTCATATTCAGGTAGATCTTACTTTACTTAATAATGGCATCCAAAGTGCAAGGGTACTGATACTGGAAATGCTGCAGTGCCAAAGAGAAGACGTAAAGTGTTCAAGTGAAGATGTGGCAGTTCTTAATATGGGAAGAAGAAAAAAGTCAGATGAGGTTGCTAAGATCTACCATAAGAGGATCTTCTACCCATGAAGTTGTGGAGAGGAAAAGAAATAGGAGCCAGTTTTACTGTCATGCCTCAGCCTGCAAATGTCAGTCACAGTGTGTAATAGGAGTTAAGATGGAAAAGGCCATCAAATTTATATATGTCTAAGAAAAAGCATAGTGCATACAAGTTTGGTTCTATCCATGTTTCCAGGGATTCCCTGGGTGATTTGGAATGTGTCTCCCACAATAAGCAGGTCTATTGTGTAAGAGAGTGACTGAAGTAATAGCAGAAAGAAGCAAGTTTGCAGGAAAGAAGAAAACATCAGTATGTAACAAGTATCCCCAGAATCCTCAGAACTCAATTACTGTACCTACGTAGACACAGTTCATGTACTATGATGTGAGTATAAGCCTCACTACTAAGTGCCTGTTGGGAATCTGTCACACATGCCTAGGGCTGACAATCTGTTCTAGAATAGTTCATTGTCCTGTTTCTTGGTGTAATTCTAAGCCTGGAAGTCCTAATAGACAAATCCCATTCAGGCCTGGACCCAAACATGGTCTTTTCAAGACTCATGCATGTCTTAACTGTGTCAGCTGTTTAACCTTAAAAGAATGGCCCAGATCAGCTCAACTTTTGGAGGGGTAAGTGTATTAGTCAAGGAGTGAGTTTTACTTAGTATTGACCGTATAACTAGTTACCTTAAAAATCCCAGTATAGGAATTAGAGACAAGGCTCAACAGTTAAGAGTGCTTGCTACTCTTCCAGAGGAAGAGTTTGAGTTCCAGTACCCACATGGCAGCTCACAATGACCTGTTACTCTAGTTTCAGAGCATCTGATGTTCTCTTCTGGCCTCTTTGGACACTAGGCATGCAAATGGTACACAGACATACATACATGTATTTAATATATATAAGTATATATTAAAATATGCATTAAATCACAGTTTAAAGGGCTACTGCCATTATGCAGGAAGGCTGATTTGTGGCAGGTCCTCGGAGAAGGTGCATTAGGCACAAACCTCTAGGTAATGAGTGTCTTCTCATTTGTAGGTGCCTCTGGTGGTATTCAAAAGGGAGAAAGAAATTGCCAGGAAGCTAGAGTTTGATGGTCTATATATCACCGAACAGCCATCTGAAGATGACATCAAGGGACAGTGGGACCGTTTGGTGATCAACACACCGTAAGTGCCCTTCACTCCAACCTATAAAAGCAAAAGTGTCTATGTTATCGCCAGGGGCAGATGACATGCTCTGATGCCAATGTATTCACAACTATGAAAATTGTAAGAGAAATGATTGTAGTGAGAGTAAAAAATAAAAGTGAACATATAAGCAAAGGCAACCATGCTAAAACTTTTGGTTGTTTCAGTTAAGATATACATATTAGATAGGATCCTGATTCCAGGGGAATTACTTCCTATTCAAAGATGATTAAGGAACACTGAGAGGCAGGTCTTTAAAGGTACAACCAAACTAATCAGTCTCTTGGAAGAGAAGGCTTTGGGGGAAATAACATAAACAATAAAACCTAACCTCTGTCCCAGCCTGAAGATTCTTGTCCATCTCCTCATACAGGGAGAAACAACAAAAGTGGTTTAAATATATTTTTCTCATTTTTTGTCATCTAATTACAGACATTTTGGGTAACATTAAGTAATTTAGTACTTTGAGAAATGTTTTGTCTGATTATCCAGGACATGTAAGTTCGGGACAATGTGATACAGTGTGAAAGTACTAGTAAAAACAGGCTGTTCTGTTTCTAGAACTTACCTGAGACACTGAGAATACTGCACTATAGTGTTCCAAGGACACTGGCCAGGGCTGTTTATTTGCGAATAGGGAAATCCACAAACAAGTAGAGCAACTGTTGTAAGAGCTGGCTTTTTTTTTCCACAGAAAGGGCATCATGGGATAGGACGATTCTGTCAGTAGCCACTCACTTAGCCACATATCACATATAGATGCCTTTTCTATTCTGAAAGTTTAGCTATAAACTTAAATTTAAATGACACATAATGTTATTTATGGAAAGAGTGTTGTAATTTAATACATGTATATTATCAAATCAGGGTAATCAGCATTATTATTACTATTATTATGTGTTAAAATATTATCACTTCTGATGCTGAGACATTTATGATTTCTCTAGTTATTTTGAATTGATAATTAGTTGTTGTAGGCTATATTTGCCTTACTGTGCTACATAGAATTACTGGGTCTTGATACTTAATATCTCCTCTGAGGTTTTCTGTTTTTATACTGTGAGGTAGACACACACATGGACCTATAAAATATTCACATTTATCTTAATAAAGAATAACAAACCACAGAGATTAAAACTAGAACATTGTTGCTAGCTCAAAAACCCTGTGTTATTCTCCAGGTAATGTTCCCACAACCCCAGCTAACATATTCTGTAATACCCATTAGTGGTTAATGATAGTTATCCTTAAGTAGTTATTAGTGCTATTACTTATGGAGTCATTATCTTTCTTTAACTTACATCTTAACCAGTTCCTTGTGCCTAAACACATTACTTCACTTTAAATATTCCAAACTCTATGTACATGGGATTGTTGTATTATGTGAGTTATACTGGTAGAGAATATTTTATTCATCGTTATGTGTTGTTTCTATTCCTCAGTGAACTCACCTAGGGTGACAGGTTTTGTTTTCAAAACTGTAATATTTTCCATGTAAGTGTATTTATAAATAAGACTTGATTCATTTTCCTGACAGTATATATTTCAGCTGATTCTGGTTTGTGCTATTACAAACAAGACTACCATAAAATCCCTTTGTCTATGCACAAGTGAAAGAGCTCTTCCCTCTGAAGGGAATTTGCTCAAGGGTAAGGTATGAGAAATGCACTATACAGAGACTTTCTACTTCTCTGTTTGGCAACACTTGTTAGTGTCAGTGATGTTGGTAATCTGGTAGGGGTGTAATGGCACCTCATTGTACATTCGCTAACTACTAAAATGACCAAGGATTTAAGCATATTCTTTATGCATTGTCTTCCACAAGTCTGTTCTCTAGGCCTTATTTTAAAGAAAATAACCCAGTAAAAATATATGTTCTACCTTCAAGGAACTTCTTGACCTCAGCCCTAGTGAGAGGACATACTCAAAATACTAGACCAAGATAAGATCATGTCCACAAAACAGTTTTACACACAGCCCTTTAGCATTTATTGTGGAATATTCTACTTGGAACAAAATAGGACCAAGAGACCAAGTGTATGCTGGAGAATGTTTGTATATAAGAAGGCAGGAAGTTGGTCATGATGACCCATATGTATAATCTCAGTACTTAGAAGCAGAGAGGAAGATCACTTTAAGTTTGAACCTAGTCTCATGTGTGTAATGAGTTCTATGTCAGCCATGGCTACGTAATAAAAGCTCTATCTAAAAAAGAGCCAAGAAAAAAAAATGGAGAGGCGGATATTTAAAGTGTTAGAGAAAAGATGGCTTGATTTTTATTCCAGTAGACTTTAAATGTGATGCATAAAAAATCAAATAGCAATGCACACAGAAGAGAGTAAAAATAGTTTTCATCTTATAAATATGTCTATTGGCAGTTTATTCCATAATACCAGCATTTGTTTTTAATTGGCAATTAGATGATTAAGATGAATAAACAATTTTAACAGCAACCAAAACAAATCTGTGAGAAATTTTTTACCCTCAAGACTGCCACCCTCTTGGAAGAGGAAGTTCTTAGCTTTCTTATCATGAACTGGTGGTCTTTGTAGATTTGGAGACTGCTGTGTGACCCAAACTCACAAAGAATGACTCGGATAAAGGAAAACAAAGTAAAAATGCACATAGTAAAGGCTGGTTCTGCTACAAAGGCAGCCCTATGAGAAACCCTCCCAGGAAGGGTCCACACATTCTGGCCAGAAGCAACACATTTTAAACATTTTTGCTAACATCCCCAAGGATGGCAGGCTTTTTGTTTTGTTTTTTGTTTGTTCGTTTGTTTGTTTGTTTAACGAGAAGAAAAAACTTGGGATGGAACTAGAGAAAATGCTGAGGCTGGGATGTCATGGAAGAAGATACCACCTTTAGAAGAGAGGGATCTAAGTCCTGGAAGGAAGTAGGTACCACAGGAGTACCTGGTGGTGAAAAGTGAGTCGGGGATCATGAGGCCGATAAAAACCCTGTCTAAATAACCCGTTAATTCTGGTCAGAAAAGGGAGCTTACCTATGTACCCTAGCACATCCCACACCATCCCGTCGCCCCAGTCACTGACAGTTGCAGAATGGGAAGCATACATTTCCTCCGGGGTATATTTTGGGATCCAGGTAGATGGGTCAAGAAACAGCTGGATTTTTTTCCCTGAAGGAGCAACAGAGGGTGATGCAGGAAAGCCCACTAGGCCTGTGGTAATGAGATTTGTCCAGGAGCATGACACCAGGGGAGGGACGAAGGGAGTGTGCAAAGCAGGATTGTTTTCAAAACAAAACCCAACAACATGTGCTTCTTGCTAGTGTGTTATCATGATTCCTTGTTCTTAAGCATAATTTTGAGACAGAAACTGCAGAGTGGCTTTCCAAGTGCCTCAGAGTTGGCACAAAGCTGCAGAACTGTAAGGCAGGAACCCTGGGATGACTGCACATCAGTCACAGCTTGAGCTCTTCAGTGAGCAGGTCAGAAACCCGAGGTGTCACAGATCCAGACATTCAAACTGGAAAGTTTCTTGATGCGTTTGCCTTGAAGTTAACAATTATGAACCTGCCCTTTTCATCTTCATTTTCAGATCTTTTCCTAGTAACTACTGGGACAAGTTTGTGAAGAGAAAGGTATGCCTTGTCTGGGGGGAAGGTGTGAGTTGTGGGTTGTCTACACGCTGCATGTACTAACATTAGTAAATGTGATGCCGGGCTCAGGACAGGCTGTGGAAAAGCACATGTGCGCTTCCTGCTTTGGTCTCACACCCATCTGCCTCCAGCACCTGCAACAACCCATGCTGCTTTCTCCACGTTAGGCTTTCCTTTCTCTCCAAAGAGACGCTAACTTAAAGTTTCCAGTTAACTGCCATTATCCCTTTAGTTTTCTCTGGGGCAATTTTTTCCTTTTCCAACCAGTTGTGAGTAGTACTTTGGTTAGCCTTTTGTAAAAGCTCAGAACATAGCAAAACTCCACAGAACCCACACACAGCTGGAGACTAGTGGGGAGGTGGTGTGTAGTCACAGCTCACCCTGTCATTTCTCGCTTCAGGTGATCAACAAGTATGGAGATCTCTATGGAGCAGAGCGCATTGCTGAACTCCTGGGTTTGGACAAAAATGCCCTTGACTTTAGCCCAGTAGAAGAGACCAAAGCAGAGGCGGCATCTCTAGTGTCATGGTACAGATCTGAGGCATTCCAAGTCCAAGTGGCAAATAAATTCTTTGTTTTCCATTCCTCTCCAGTGAGCTAAAGGGTGAATTACAAGCATGTCTTTTGTTTTCTTTTATTTATAATAATTTTTTAAAATTTAACTTTTTACACATTACTCCCAGCTCCCTTCCCCTTCCCCGAATCCCCCCCAACACCCCACTCCACTTCCCAGGGAGGGTAAGGACTTCCATGTGGGGATTTTCAAAGTCTGTTACATCATCCCAGGCAGAGCCTAGGTCCTCCCCCACGTGTCCAGGCTGAGAGACACACCCTCCATGTGGAGTGGGCTCCCAGAGTCCATTTGTGTGTCAGTGATAAATACTGATCTACTATCCAAGGCCATAGATTGTTGAGGCCTCCTCTCTGAAACCCAGGTTGGGGGGGTGGGGGGGGTGGATCAGTCCCATACTGGTCTCTCAATCATCACAATGGGATCCATGCATTCCCCCTTGTTTAGGTCAGCTGCCTCTGTGGGTTTCACCAGCTGGATCTTGATTCTTTTGCTCATCACTCCTCTTTGCAGCTGGGTTCCAGTTCAGTTCGGTTTTTGGCTGGGGGTGTCTGCCTCTGCTTCTGTCAGCCACTGGATGAGGGTTCTCTCTAGCAGAGGGTGGAGGGGCGTGGTCAGAGTGGTGGGGGATGATGGCGGCTGCTCGTCTTTTGTTTTCTTACAAATTGGGAAAGGACTGCTTGAAAGGATTTCATGGCCAATCAATTCTTATGCCTCCAAAGAGCCCAAAGACTAAGGTTTTGTCTCTGAGAAGTCTATAAAATTGAAAGAGTTGATGCTGTGTTTACGTTACTAACCCTAATAAGTTTTCCCCTTTATTATGCACTTATTAACACTGATATTTACAAGTTATGAAATTATTGTTCCTCTTTAGGCTAAGTTCCATCGACATGAAGTACCATATTTGGAAGCTGGGGGTGGTTTTCACTGACAACGTAAGTATAGTGATAGAAAAAAACAAGATCTTGTGCCCCAAATCAGGGGATTGTGTGGATCCCACAGGGAATAAAAAAACCCTGAAGTTCCTCAGGCAGCTCTCTGGGTAATCGTGGAGCAGGAGCCTGAGAGGTGTTGGGGAAACTCTGCATTGTGCAATAGTGTAACATGAATGGGGCTCTGTTGGAAGACCTTGGGGCGACTTATAGCTCCTATGCCCCCTTTTCTTCATGTTGTTCCTCAAAATGAGGGGAATATAGTTAATAAGCCCATCATATTATGAATGCCTGAAAATGTCCAATTTTCCCCCATTTCCAGTCCTTTCTCTACCTTGCCTGGTACACAACCATGTCCATCCTGGGCCACTACAACAACTTCTTCTTTGCTGCTCATCTGTTGGATATTGCAATGGGCTTTAAGACCTTGAGGACGATCCTGTCATCTGTAACTCACAATGGCAAACAGGTATTGGTTTATGCTTATTTGAAACAGAATGTATAGAATAGAAAAGAAAAAAAAACTCTAGGAAGGAATTTGTCATAGTGTGTAATGCTCCTTTCTTGACCAAACACTTGAACTAGTAGTAGTCATTCTTTTTCAAAACCATACCCAGCTGAAGATAGAACATTAAAGTTAGGATCAACTAGGAGAATAAGGATGGGCTGAGCAGAGCAATAGAAATAACAGAATCACTTTGGGTACTTTTTATGGGCCTACCCCTTCCTCCATGGGTCTTATTTACCTCCCAGGCACTTCTGACATGTGTTTCTAATAATTAATAAGTTAATAGGTATACTTTTAATAGATACTTACATATAATATGCACACATACATAATGTGCAAATCTACATGGCTAAACAAAGAATGTCTGGATACAACAATGACTATAGTTATATTAAAAACCTCTAATGGATTCTCCTTATTGGCAAATAAGTAGTTAAGTATGTATGTGACATACTCCATCATACTTTTTTTTTTTTTTTTTTTTTTTTTTTTTAGTTTTTCGAGACAGGGTTTCTCTGTAGCTTTGGAGGCTGTCCTGGAACTCACTTTGTAGACCAGGCTGGCCTCGAACTCACAGAGATCCGCCTGCCTCTGCCTCCCGAGTGCTGGGATTAAAGGCGTGCGCCACCAACGCCCGGCCTCCATCATACTACTAAACCTTTGTTTGGGACAGGGCAACAAGAAAGTTAAAACATGTCAAGCTTATGCCATGTTTCAGGTATTGAGTCTTACAACTACCTTTTAAGGGAGTTGTTAATCTCAAAAGAATTCAGGCTAAGAGGCTGTGCGGCCCCTGAGACTACACAGCTGATACGTGGCAGGGCTTAGGCCCAACAGTCCCTTTGCTCTCCTTTGGTATGAGGCCCCTTGAAAGCACTTCCTATGAGCTCTGTTCCCCAGGTTTGAGTAACTCCATCCCTCGGGAGATCAGTAATATTCAATTTCGTTGCTTCCCTTAGCATCTGTGCCTACTCTCCTTTGTACAGTTCAAGAACAAAAGATCTCCACTGTTTATCTTCCCCCCAGCCAGTCTCTAGTCCCTGCTGGAACTGGCTGCAGAGGCAGGTCCCTCAGCCTCCTCACACACGCTGCTGAGTCCCTGGCCTCCTTACGTAGGTAGCATGGAAGTAAACATGTCCTGTGATACCATGGTGGGCCTAAGCAGACTTCTTTGCTCAACCACTGTAATATTTACAATAACTTCAAAGCTGTGGTGATTATGCAGGTTATGGCTGTGATATAATATAGCTGAGGGACAGCCACTAGTCTGAGGAAACTTTAGGTTTTCTCAGTAGCAGCTTTAGGGAAGCATTGGGAAACAAGGAGCTCTGTGTACACAATAGAAGCCTCACAGCACCTTTACTTGGATTAACAAGTACATTCATCCTTCATCCATGTACAAAGCCATACTCCGGACAACAGTGTGGTGGAGATACCTCAAACAAACAGACTGGTGACTTAACTGGTGGGAATCTATAGCTTCAAGCTCTTGAGGCTGGAAGTGTAATAGGAAAGTGTTCACTGGCTTGGTCTCCTCTGAGGTTTCTCTCCTTGCGTTGTGCACAGCTATGCTCTGGTGGCTACTACACACAACTGTCCCTCCAGGTGCACGTGGTTTATGCCATCTGGCTCCTAAACTCTTTTTATAATGACATGAATGAGATTGGATTGAGGAGCACCCTCACAGTCTCATTATAACGGAATCTCTTTAAACACTGTCTCCAAATAGTCACTAGTGGTTAGGAGTCCACACATCAATTACAGGGAGGACACAGTTCAGCCTGAACATTCCCCCTATGAACTCTTCTCTCCTGATAAGCCTGGTCAGCCCATTTTCTACCAGTAGTCAAAGCACGTCACTGTCTCCCTTACTAGTGGGGGTCCCATGAGTCTTTCAGGGTTGAGAGCTCACTCGTCTGCATTCCGGTTTTCTCATCCCTAGCTGGTTCTGACTGTTGGCCTCCTGGCTGTTGTTGTTTACCTCTATACTGTGGTGGCTTTCAACTTCTTCCGCAAGTTCTATAACAAAAGTGAAGATGACGATGAGCCGGATATGAAGTGTGATGACATGATGACAGTGAGTACCCATTAGTCATGGTCACACAGCCTCTTTGGGTGGTTGGCAAAATGAACATCTGTGGCATTTGAGCAGGAGAGACTAGGTGTCCTGGGGAGATGGAGGTGATGGTAATGGGTGTCATCACACTGTGGGAGCCAAGGGGTACCAGCACTTCTCTCACTTCGGGATGAGGATTAGACACACCGTGAGTGAGCACATCAAAATTTCACGACAGTAAAGCTTTGGTTTTCATCTCTGAAAATTGGGAGTGAAGTTCCTTATTTTAGTCATTCATCAAGCTTCTTTCAAAGTAGATACCGAAGGCTAAGGAGCGTGGCACCGCAGGATAAGGGTATCTGTCAGGTATGGGGGGTCTCTGATAGGCCCTAGTGGGATTAAAGGCACAGCTGGGGGTAACACGCTGTGAGCGAAAGCCATGCTAGGTAAAGGTCTGCGAGCATCTCTCTATAAACAGGCCATGCTAATTGGCTAAAATTCCCCTGATGCTATCTTGGGACAAGGATTCTCTCAAGACTGGCACCTGGCTTCAGGCTGCTCCTGGCTCTGGATGTGCCCTTTCTCTGTGAGCCTAAGCTCTCTGGTGAGGTGCAAGGGTGCCTGGCTGAACGAGGCAGGGCTCAACTGAGTACAAACACAGGCTGAGTGTGTTAAATGTTCCTTGTCCAAACTCTTAGGACCATAAGTGCTTCAGATTGGGGAATATCTGCATACACTCTATGTCTTAAAAAGTGGGACTAAAATCAAAACATGAAATATATTTTAAACCCCAAGTCTGAAAGTAATTTTACAGATGTGTATTTAGAATACTTGTATTTTGACCACAACCCATTACATGAGGTCAGGTGTTAAATTTTTGACCTGAGGAGGTGTCATGACAGCATTTGACCAGTTTTACCTTTTATAACACTCTGATTTCTGATTAGGGATGCTCAACCTATACTTAAGAATTTACAGTAATCCTTGGCAAATATACAGGGGATAAAGAAGTAGAAAGAGCCCAAAAATTCAGCAAGACACAGTTGGTAGCTGGCATATGCCATACCATCAGGCCTTAACAACCTTCTTGTTTTACGAATTATAATTCAAAGTTAGTTTTCAAGAATGTAAGAATCTTTCCATCCTGATAGACAGCAAGCTGGGTGTGGTGGACAGCAGGGGCCAGCATCACTGAAGGAGGTCCCTGCCCCCAGTTCAGGAGCAACATGGTTAGATCTGAGGTGTGAAATGACCATGCCCCCAGAGAGCTGTGTGCTTTCACCTGAACTGCCCCTGCCATCTCCCCTAGTGCTACCTCTTCCACATGTACGTGGGAGTGAGAGCGGGTGGCGGCATCGGTGATGAAATTGAAGACCCTGCTGGTGACCCTTATGAAATGTATCGAATCGTTTTTGACATTACCTTCTTCTTCTTTGTAATTGTCATCTTGCTGGCCATCATTCAAGGTATGGTTGTCAATTATAGTATGGAGGAGCTGAGTTAAATAAATCTAGTTTGTTTTGCTTTGCTATATCCATCAAGTGATAGTTTTTTCCTAATTCATCTAACTTGTCATTTTAACAACTCATTGAGCACGGATTGTCTGTGAAACCTTGTATATACAGAGCCAAAGAGCCACCCAGAAAATTCCAGAGAACATGTCTTCGTCCCTTCTGCTTCCTAGAGGTCTTCTGTGGCTTGCCTTGCCCTTGTCTTTGTCCTCCCATGCAGAGGTGGGGAAGCAGGAGAGAAAGAAGCTATAAAAATATGACACGACTTAATTGTCTTTCAGAGACGATAGAAAGGTACCGATATTTTAGTCAATACCTTGCTAGGAACTCAAAAAAGAAAGATGATGATAAATTCAGTTTGAGTCATGCTGAATCGTGGTACTGGCATTTATTTAAGTGTTAGGACTCAGAAGCAAAGACAATGAGGGAAGATGTTGACCAAAGACATTGAGAACACATTGATTGCTATCTGAGGGATCAGGAGAAGAAAGAGTTAGAAGTAGTTGTCACAGCACTGAAGTAATGAAAGAGAAGTAATGAAAAATGGTTAGCCAGGACTATGTGCTCGAAAACACAGCTCTTTCCCCCTTTAATTTTGCTCAGCTTGACAAGTCACTTTTTTGACATTCAAAATGGTTTCTGCCACTTCTCCCCTAAGACCATGATGCAGATGAAGGTACTTTTTCCTTTGTATTAAAAAATCCAGGTCTGATTATTGATGCTTTTGGAGAGCTGAGAGACCAGCAGGAACAAGTACGTGAAGACATGGAGGTACTGTTCTTTCTATTTATTTCAACCCCACACAGGTTCCTCAAACCACAGACAGGGCTATTAATTAGGGTCATCCCTAAGCAAAACTACTAAAAGATTTGCTTTCCATGCCTGTCATCTCGCTTCCTCCGTACCAATCAATCTACCATCCCTGTGCACTAATGCCCTGTATGCTACACCCTCCCATGCCTGACACACTGCTGCCTCCTGTCTCATAACCAGAGGGAACAGCATCGTCAGCTAGGAAGGTGGGACTGTGAGTAAATGACCAATAGTCCAAAGCATTAAACAGAAAAAGCAGCTTTCCTTGTCCCCAATTCAACCGGCTGTCAGTGGTTTTCCTTTCTCCACTGCTATGCATACTAATGCCTTTTCTATTTTGTTTTTTGTTTTTATAGACTAAATGCTTCATCTGTGGCATTGGCAATGACTACTTTGACACAACCCCTCATGGTTTTGAAACACATACGCTGCAAGAGCACAACCTAGCCAATTATCTGTAAGTAGTCTTGGTTAAGGATGTCGTCTTCAGGGTAAAACAAAACAACTGTCACAAATGGTATAGTCTATTCATGTCATTTCTCCCTTTCTGTTTGGAAGAGGTAGACAATGATCAGTAAAGGAGCCAGTGTAGTTCTCTCTATGCTCTTCATTGGAAACAACTGCGAACAGTTCCAGGCCTAGGCAGCCCAACTCGTGTCTAGGCCCCATTCCTCTCAATAGCACCTGTCTCCCACCATTTCTCTTTACATCCTTAGGAGCACCCACTTTTACCTCCAGGGTTACTGCCTCCACCTCCCCCTTTCTGGCCTTACTAAAAGGGCTTCCCTTACTATGTCACAAGATGGGATTGTATCAAGTTGGGGCACTCAGATTCATTCTGATGGCCAGTGTTTAGACATTCTGTTGGCTCTGCAGGTTCCATTAAATCGTGTGAAGGTGGAATATTCTAGGGAGTGTTTAATGTTAGCCATGCAAACGATAAAAATATTTCACTTTTCCTAAGGTCAAGCATTCACTCAAGTCATTTGAGCCTATTCGGTACCACTTATGAACTATATCAATTATATGACCTGATTATTCAGACTCCAGGAAGTGTGATTTCCAAGGGGGAAAGTGAGCTACTTTCTGACCTTGCTCTTTCTGCATTTTGCTAACATCTAGCTCTCTGAGATAAAGCAGACCAAAGCTGGTGCTGAGTTTCTTTTTAAATAACCAAAATCCTTTCCCTAGCATCATGTGTATTTATCATGGCCATTTCTCATTAAAAGGACTTTCGGTCAAGATACAGAAGTTGAGCCCATAGCCCTATGACAGGCAGCACCAGGGAATGACAGACTAAAAGACATGAGACATCTGGGCTGGGATTCCCTACCATGATACCCTGGAAAACTCTATGTGGTGATCTGCCAGCTAAATAAATGTGCCAGGAGAAGAACATCTCACTGGCCCAGGTCTTCAGTTTGATGGAAACAGGAGATTCTCAATTTCAGTAGAGGGGAAGGAAGAAGCTATCAGTTAAGAGCCATTTTTGTATGCCAGGGCCTAAGATAAAATATAGTACTACCCTGTGAGAACTCAAGGTTTGGGGTTCAGGCTCTGCTACCATGCAAGAGATTTTCTCTTCCTTTACCTGTATCATATTTTTGTTTCCCAAAGGGCATCAGACTGGTTTTTCTAGAAACCATCTCTGAGGTTGTATAATATGAACTGAGAGGGCAGCCCCCGGGGCCACTTGTGTGTCACAGACTCAAATCTTTGATACAAATCATTAGCATAAGTGAAACCACACTGTGTTCCCTCAGTTTTCCACAGTGAAAAACAAACCGATACTTCTGGAAGGACGAGTATGAGCTGAAAGCAAATACTGCCACATTTTTCATGACTCATCCTTGACCTGTGCTTTCAAGTCTAACTTTTATTACATGAAAAACTTGCCTATTGATAACTTTATGATAGGGTCAGACTTTTTTTTTTAAATGGTAAGCAACATAGCTTGCAAGTGGGCTTAGCTTAAATTTTGGGGTGTTCAGAAGGCTCTCCCTCACTGGCTTGGAGATCAGCATCTATCATCATTAGAAATACTTAAAAGGCTTCTTAGTTTTCAAACCATATTTCCAACTTCTCTTAGTAAGCAGTGTTAGATAGTTTGGATAAGAAGTACCTTGGGCTGGAAGGATGGCTCAGCTGCGAAGAGCACTTGTTGCTCTTGCAGAGGACCCAGGTTCAGTTTCCAGCTCCCAGCCAGGCACCTCACAACTACCTGTAACTCTAGTTCCAGGATATCTGATGCTCTCTCTTCTGTCTGGCACTCGTAGGCACACATATATAAGTCATTTTTTTGTTTGGTTTTAGTTTTTTGAGGGTGGGGTAGGTTTCAAGACAGGGTCTCTCTACATACCTCTCTGGCTTTTCTAGAACTTGTTCTGTAGACCAAGCTAGCCTCAGTCTCCCAAGTGCTAGGATTAAAAGTGAGTGCCACCACAAACACTAGTTTTAGTTTAACTTAAAAACCCCTATCTTTCCCCCGTTTGTTCTTTTTCCAGATTCTTTCTGATGTATCTGATTAACAAGGATGAAACAGAACACACGGGTCAGGTAAGAAGCAAACTGCTTTTAACTAAGAACTAGATAGTGAAAGAAAGACAACACAAACCTAAGTCTTGAAACTGAGCAGTACACTATGGGATATCTGAGGCTATTGGTCTCTTAGATGCAGTTGCTTTTTTTTTTTAATCACCTTTTTTGTTACTTAAAAAGAAGTGAGAATTCTATGGTGACTTCAGTCTATTCCCCAGGTAATCCCTCCCAGCAAACACTGACATTTTCCAGACCATTGTGTTTACTGCTCTGGAGGTGGGAGGACAGTAGAGAGAGAGACAGCGAGAGATGGCGTGGGTGGCTGTAACAAAGAGCAGAGATGCAGAGTGAGACAGTGGGAGAGACAGCACAAGAAAGGACGGCCTTGTATGTGGGTGACAACAGGAATGTGGGGGTGTGAGGATGAGTGAGGAGCTGTGTCAAGTAATTCTGTGACTAACTATGAAAAAGAAAGGTGGAGAACACAGGAAGAAAAGCCTAGCTACTTACTCAAAACTCAAATGTCAATGGATAGGGAAGCTTTATAGCTCAAACACGTGGGTTCTGATCAGACCTCGGGTAGCATGAAATGTCCCCTCAAACCTGCATTCTTTAGTCCCCCAGCTACAACTGGCATGGGACTGAATGGCTAGAAGGGGCAGAAGTTAGGTTTTTCCTCCTTCCCTTCACCATGATGGGAAGGCGTGACTTCTTGCTCACAAATCACAAGCGGGCTGGGAGAGGGAGAAAATGCCCATGTGGCCTTGCATCAATTCCCAGGGTCTTCTTCAAGGAAATTACACAAAGCAAAACCAAAATGGGTTTAGCTTATTGTGGTTTCAACACAAAGTACCCTTTGTTTACAATGTTTCAGGAATCTTACGTGTGGAAGATGTACCAGGAAAGGTGTTGGGACTTCTTCCCAGCTGGCGACTGCTTTCGTAAGCAATACGAAGATCAACTCGGGTAAATCTGAGTTCAAGACGAGCCATGATTCTGGACAGTCACCTTCTAATCAACAGAATCCTTCCTTGACACTGCATTAAAAAAATCTATTATTTGGAAATTGATTTGGCATTAGTACCCAATGGACAAAGAATGGCAAACCACCAAGGACTCCACCTGACTGCTCGCAGGGCTCCCAGTTCTAAGAGCAACTAGTTTCTTGGAAAGGTTCAGAGAAATGTGAAGTCTTGAACACCTAAAGGTCGTGCAAGAGGACCCCTGCCAGGGGCCGATGGGCAAAAACTACACAAAATCATGTTCAACTCATGTTAACTGCGGTCTAATTTTTCCATGGTACTTGCTAGTGACTGTACCAGAATCAGCTCGAAAAGCTTTAAGCAGCTAAAGAAATAGGAAACAAACACTTTGTCGAAACTGAAATATCGATTAAGTGCCTTAAAAATCTCTTTAGATATAGCTATGCAAGTTTTTTATGTTTGTGTTCCCGAAGGACAACTCCATTAAACAGCTGTGCTGATATTGTCTTACTTTATGAAACTGCACTTGAAGGTTATTCACGTATTTTCTTCGGTGACAGCTTCACAACTGCTGTTATTTGAAGAAAGGCACTGTACTGAAATTTCAGAAAAATCTCAATCTTATACCAAACCTGAGTGATGCTTTATGGTTCTGTGTAAGTAGTGGAGCTGCCATGTTTTAGGTCAATCTCCTCCAATAAAATGAAGTGCCCACTGCAATAAAGTAACACATGCCAGTTCATGGTTTGGCTTCTTGTCATTACCACACCCAGTTACCCTACAGCAGCCTGACTGACTGCTAAGTCAGGGACATGAGACAAGCAGCCCATGGGTTTCGTGTCAAAAGGAAATATCCATACACCAGAGGGTGTTTGTTTGACCAACTGCATGCCTTGTTGCTTGTATACAGTCTCTTCTTAATTAGGGCCTGTTATTCTGTAATGTCATCAGGAAGGAGAATGAAAACATAGCTGTGACATCCCCTGTCCTTAAGGAAATCTAGTAGATGACTAAGCCAGATAACAAAAACAAAGCCCCAAGGAAGCCTCATACATGTATTCAGATGCCATCAAAAACAGAGGTAGGCATTGGCTGCTGTAAGCATAAGTAACAGTACATGTTAGCATGGGGTATTCTGGTAAGCTAGCCCACCCTTACTTAGAAGGCAACCAAAATTTGCTTCAGGCACATTTTCCCCCTTGGTCCCCTCCTCAGGAAATCATGCTGTCCAGCCAGTCTTCCAGTTCTTCCTCAGTAACAGTTTTGGATGTGCTTGTCTGTTCAGGTTCCACATTTTTCTCTGCAGTCATAGATGGCTTTTCAGGAACTATGGAAATAAAATCAGCATTAGCCACCTCACATCAATTACACTGATGATGGTTAAGACTTTCTTGGGGTATTTTTTTGAGGACATATGTCATCCCAAATTACTACTTTCTCTGTAACAAGAAAATTCTCATTACTGTCATCCCCTAAGTTACCACCCATAGTATCTAAACAAAATAAGTAAAGGTACAGGTTTGCTCTTCTATTTATACTGAAGATAAATTTCACTGCTCACTCGTGCTATGGAGTTTAACACAAAGACCAACAGCATAACTCTGTGTCCTTTTCATTTTGAGGCAATTCTGAAACATAACTCTCGAGTACTGTATATGACAGTTATCTTAAGCCCTATCACATCAGAAGGGATACCAGCCCACAAAATATTTACAAGTTATAAACATTCTTTTGCTTTAAACAAATCAGTTTCCAACCTGCTCAGTCGATTAAAAGGCCTACTACTGAAAGTCTTTTATGGCAGTTCAATTTGCAGCTCTAGTTTTAATACTGCACCCGGGCTGTAGCCACTTTGGAAGTTTGAGATATTGAGTAAGAGAAACCATCAGAAAGGTCAGCTCAGGGGAAGCTGTGATTTGCCCAGAGAAAGAGATGCCTGGGACACGACTGAATCAATATCAGACACAGGGAGGTATGCACGGGTGATGGGGTAGGGCTGTTCCCATAAAAATACCAGAACTGAGAATACGGATGGGAAATAAAATGAAAGCCATACCTGTTTCTTCCTGGGCCCCCTGCCCATCACTTTCTGGTTCCTGGTCCTGAGACATCTGGTCTGGGCAGATTCTGTCTTCCTCTTTCATGGGTTCATCTAAATGCAGCAACATGTCCAGTTCATCTTCCAGATGGTCTGCCACTGACTGTGGCGGGAAGGGCCCTTTCTGCAAACCCTCTGGAGGGCTTGATCTTAAGCTGTCTTTGCCCAGAGATCTGGCACAACTAGCAGCAGTAGATCTGATCTCGGAGCTTGGCCCCCTTAACTGCATGCCCAGCTCCTTGCCATCATCGTTTCTCCTTGGTTTCACCTGTGGAAGTTCTAACGGAATTGTGGTCTGAAAAGGAAGCACGATGTCGGAATTTAGTAGAGTCCTCGTGTCCACTTAAGCACACAAGAAGTTAAGGAAGCCACACAACCCTGTAGGTAGGAAACTCAATTCAGGTAGCCCACACAGTACTTCCTGTTGGAGCCCCACCGCAGCACTCTTGCTGATCCACCCAGCCAATAAAGCGATTTCGTGGAAACATGGCAGGGCTGTGCCTCCCACCCTGCTCCTCTCTGGTGTGTGCTAACTAGCTAGAGGTGGGATTGAAAGCTCATGTCTTCCTATCCCTGGCCTGACAGCTAACTGTACCATGTGTCTATTTAATTGATACTTAAGGTTATAATGAAGAATAACCTATCTGTAAAAGTTACTAAGAGGTAATTAGCCAGTAGACCTGTTCACCATGCTTGGATGCAGGAACATGAAGGGTCAGGACCACTTACCAAGAACAAAAGAACTCAACTGTAGTTTGAATATAAAATGTCAAATGTGAAGAAAAACAGACTATTTGGCTACATTTATAGAAAATTCAAAACCAGGTAAAACTATAGTAATAGAAGCCAGGGTAATGTCTGTCTTGTGGGCAGATGGGGACTCAAAGTATGTATGGCGGCCTCAGAGGAACTGGCAATGTTCTGGCCCTTGCTGTAGAAGCTGATTCCACAGTTACACACACTTATCTGTACATTCTTCCCTATCTATGCTATGCTTTGAAGATTTCTCATAACTGTGACAGGTCTCTGTCTAAGGTTGAGAAACCCTCTTTTGGGGTAAGGCCACAGGGATGGCAGGGGCCCTCAATGCATAGGATAGAAAGTGGGCCTAATATCAACTGGCCCCTACTCTTAAAGACCCAGATTGCTGGGAACTCCTCAGAACTTCAGAAATTTACTCCAGCGTGGCTTTATAAAAGCATGGACTACACCAATGTCCAGCACTTCAGCTGTACAGAGAGAAGCCAGAGTGAGGCCCTCTATGTTAACCCAAAACCACTTCTATGAGAACCTGGAAGTCATTTTCCTTATTTTTAAATTCCTAGGTGATACTAATGAGTGCAGTTGAGAACAAACCTGAAGACTACAGGTGAGAGAGAGAGAGAGAGAGAGAGAGAGAGAGAGAGAGAGAGAGAGAGAGAGAGAGAGAGAGAGAGAGAGAGAGAGAGAGAGAGTGTGGGTGTGGGTGTGTCTGAGTTAGTGTCTCTCACTGGGACCCAGGTGACAGCTTTCTTAAGGTGGCTTTCCTACTCTGTCTTTGTACAATAGCAACACACACAGAAAGCCACCAATACATACTCCAACAGCTCATCCTTCCTACTCTACCAGCACAGTATTTACCATGATCATCTTTATTAATGCAGACCTGCCTGGGTCATCATCTTTCATTGTAGCTCAAGTGTACTTACTTCTTGGACCTCAGCTTACCCTTTGTTTCCTGAGGAAAGCATCCTAGCCACACCATGATACATCAGGTTCATTACTACAAGCTCTTATGGCACACTGTAATTCCCATAATTCATCAGTTCTGTGCATCAGTACATTTACTTCGTTAAACTGACTAGTATCAATAGTTCCCAGTAGACTGAGCTCAGGGAAGGAGGAACCACATTCACCTGCTTCCCTAGTGCCAAGTCAGAGCCTGGCACCTGAATACTCTGTGGTAACAGCCAGACTTTAGTTGTTTTTGCATTCAATTCTAGAATATTTGATCCATTAAAATGTACCATATATAAAACATAACAGAGTAAATTCAAACAACTGTCTTGTATTCCTTCAAACTTTACAAAGTGACACCCCAATATGAGGCCCTCAGCTGATGACGAGAAAAGCTCAGGCTGAAACACCCTGTAGGCCACATTCTTCCCTCTGGTCCTAGTCCCAACCAAGTAGGCAGAATTTGATTTTACCTGGATCAACTCCGCAGCAACGTTAAGCCGGACTGAGAGGGGCAGCTGTTGAAGGGCTCGAACCAGTGACTCACTATCCACATAGAGTGCTGAGTTCTAGATGGATTTGGGGGCAGGCGATAAAATAACTAAGTCATTCATTGGAGTTACTTTTGTCTGGGAGTTCATAAATAAATCACATTTAATGAGCTTTAAATGTCTCTCTACCAAACAGTGAGCCCTCAATTCACTCACTCACAGACGCAGTCAGGCAGTGATCACCACCACATCAAGCTGAAAACTGGGAGAAAACTAGCATTTTAACGAAACTGACCAGAAATTTCCCCTAAACTCAGACTGCCAGTTCTAGGCAGAAGACAGAAGAGATGGTTTGGGTGGTGACATGGGATTGCCAGGGGAACCCAAAGGAGTTGGTGGGTAAGTTCTGCTTCTCTTCAAAACAAAAACAGCAGCTTCCTCTGTCCAGCCAGCAATGCTCAGTGTGGTGGTAGCACTAAAAGCTTTCTCTGACCCTTTCCATCCAGGAACGAAGTTACAATCTTGCACTGTTGTCTCCAACCAACATTCCTGCAAGTCCACAGCCAAACCAGTGACTGTTTATCTACTGTCTTATTAGCTAGCTACCCTGTAGGTGTCCTGCTGGCTCAAGGGAAAGAAAAACTTAAAAGGTGGTCATAATGACTTCTAATACAAACTCCATCCACCATATAGACTTTCACAGGCCCATCCAGGAACATGTCTTATCCTATATAATTACTGACTTCACATAGGCAAAAAGCCAGAGATTTGCTAACTTAATACCTGTATTGTAGGAGCACCTCAAGTTGATAGGTTTATAAAAAATCAGAGATGGAAACACAGTTCTTGGCACCGCAAAAGCAGAGCTTGTTACAAAAAGCCCATGTTAATCCCTAGTTCATAAAACAGCAGTACGTGGGGATCTATCAGAGTAAGTGATCTGGATTTCCCCCTTCTAAAGAAATCCTGAAATGGCTAGGTCTTTGGTAAGCCACAATGACAATGCTAAATGGTATTCTTTGCTCTAAAAAAGAAATTTATCTCTAAATTAGGTAACATATTTAAGAAATAAAACCCTGCTTTAAAAAATGTGGGAAGTGATGGTCAGCTCAGTGGGTAAAGACCTGCCACATAAGCACAGACCTGAGTTAGGCTCCCCAGCACCCATGTAAAAAGCTGAGTGAGCATGGCAGCACATGTCTGTAATTCCAGTCTGCTGGGAAGTAGGAGAAACGACATACAGATCCCAGGGGTTGGAGACCAGCCAGTCTAACCAAAATGGCAAGTTCCAGGTCCAATTTTGAGATCCTGTCTCAAAAGGTAAGGTCAAGTGCCCATCCTCAATTGATAGGTCTACAATGCAATGACAACAACAAAAACACAGAAAACCGCCCCCCCCCCACCGCGTGCGTGTGTGTTTGAGCGTGCGCGCGCACACGCCTCTGTCTATCTGTCTGTCTGCCTGTCTGTGTCTGTGTGTATGAGGACTGTTAAGAACCGAAAGACCAGAATAGAATATCTGTGGCTAGATAGTATTTTCCAAACATGAGAGGAATGCTATGCCCATTAATTCTTTTTTTTTTTTAAGTTTAAATTTAGATTAGAAACAAGGTTGCTTCACAAGTCCAGGCCCCTCTCCCTTTCCCTCTCCTCCTCCCGTGCCCTCCTCCCCACCCCCCCCATTATCCCCTCATTTCCCCAGGGAGGGTGAGGCCCTCCATGGGGGTGTCCATAGTCTGTCATTTCATCCATGGCAGGGCCTAGACCCTCCCCCAAGAGTTCAGGATGAGAGTGCATCTCACATTGTTGGATGGGAGTCCGAAGTCCATGTGTATACTCGGGATGAATACTGATCTACTGCCCAAGGCTCAATAAATTACCTAGGCCTCCTCACTGACACCCACATTCAGGGGGTCTTGATCAGTCCCATGCTGGATTCCCAGGCTGACACCTGGGATTCAAAAGTTAACCTTTGTCAGGCCAGCTGTTTCTGGGGGGTTAAACCAGCCCAGTCTTAATCCCTTTGGTCATCAGTCCTCCCTCTCTGTTACTGGCTTTCTTGAGTTCAGCTCAGTGCTTAGCCATGGAGTGTGCCTCTTCTTCCATCAGCCACTGAATGAAGGTTCTGTTTCCCAGACTCTCTGGCCATGGGATTGTAGGCTGGCACTCCCCAGATCTATGTGTAAAATCCATATATGAGAGAGTACATGCCATGTTTCTCTTTTTGTGACTGGGTTACCTCACTCAGGATGGTTTCTTCTAGTGTCATCCATTTGCCTGCAAATCTCAGGATTCCATTGTTTTTTTCTGCTGAATAGTACTCCATTGTATAAATATACCATATTTTCTCTATCCACTCTTCGGTTGAGGGGCATCTAGGTTGCTTCCAAGCTCTGGCTATTACAAATAATGCTGCTATGAACATAGTGGAACAGACATCCTTGTTGTATGAATGGGCATCTTTTGGATATATGCCTAAGAGTGGGGTTGCTGGGTCTTGTGGTAGGTTTATTCCCATTTTTCTGAGGAATCTCCATACTGATTTCCAAAGTGGCTGAACAAGTTGGCACTCCCATCAGCAATGGAGGAGTGTTCCCCTTTATGCCCATTAATTCTCAACAAAATAGTTGCCTAAAGAAGACTCAAATAATGACAATAGCAGTTGGCATGCCAACATAGATAGTGGATCTCAAAAAGGTCCATCCCATCCCTAGATGAAGAGCCAGAGTCAATCAATGGCTGCTGAGAGAATCAGTCTTCTCTAGAGACAAACTCCCAGCAGGCTAGCTGATGCCAAGTGCTCAGTCCTAAACATATACACATAGAAGCAACACTAAACAGACTCAGTGGTGTGTGTGTGTGTGTGTGTGTGTGTGTGTGTGTGTGTGTGTGTGTGTATCAGTAATATTAAAAGGTCATAATGTGAGAGGGAATGGAGTCAGAGGACTTGGAGGAACAAGAAAATAATATATAGTATTCATGTATGAAATTCTCAAAAAAATTAAAAGTAAGGTCAAGTTTGATACAGGAAGACACCTGACCTCAACTTCTGGCTTACACACACGCATGCATGCACGCGCGTGCACGCGCGCGCACACACACACACACACACACACACACACACGCACGCACGCACGCACGCACGCACGCACACATGTACGCACAGCTGTACTTACACCCCACCATAAGAGAATGTGAGAGAAACCAGATATGTAGTGGCACAGGCCTATAATCTCAACATTTGGTTGACAGTCAAGAGGAGGGTCATGAGTTTGAGTTCAGGACGGAAAACAAAGCGAAATCCTTCTCATAGATCTTTGGGGAGATAAAGTGGGAATTCAGTATGTAATCCTTCCCTTACTCATGAATACAGCAATGACCTTGACTAAAACTACATTATAAACAGCCTTTGTGATTTAAGGACTGACTGAAGGCCTTTGATGACTCCTGTTTTTATTTCATACATTTATCCTACTAAAGGTTAATAAAGGTACAAGGGTAAGGAAGAAATGTGGGGTTGGGGGAAAAGGTTGGCAAAAAGAAAAAGAAAAAAAAATCAAATAGCAAAGTAATCTATTACCTTAAAATCACAACCATTAACTTCCTACTTCACCTATGAGACATTCACCAATGGCCAAATGAACTCAAGCTGGAAGGACTTTATCAACTAGGTTGGTAGCCAGAACAAAATGTATATGGATGAGAGCTCTTTTCCACGGGATTCATATCTGCAATAATGGGAAGGTGCAGGGCCTTGGCCTTGAGAAGAGATAACCTACATTCAAGACACATTTGTCTTACCTGCTTTGGACATGAAGTTTCACCATCCCATTCTTTCTCCTCAGCAAATCGAAACTGTGAGAAGGAGTCCCCTAGGAATAGAAAAAAACAATATATATCATACACACATATATATAATTTTATATATATACACATATATGGTTTTACACATACAACACCCAGTTTCTCTGTTTCCATTTTAGAACACAAGTGACATTGTGAATAGTTAACCTTCCCCAATCCAGCAACACCATCCTGCAAGTCCTGGATCCAGTGCATACATCTGGGCACTGGACAATGCTGTTGACACTTATTTCATCCCGTTTTCATTCAATAAACCACCATTCCACACATCAAGGGACAACCAAACAGGCCTGCAAACACGGCCATTTACCCATATCTAATCTATTTCCATCTTTTCTGCTCAGTGTATGCAAAGAAGTTTGTACTTATGACTTGGGGGCCAGCAAGGCAGAAAGGGGAAGATGAACCAAAGGAAAGCATCTCTGGGTTGACCCACAATGTTACCAGATTATCTCTTTGATAAGTTATAGTCTTATCTTAATAACCTCCATTATCACTCCAAACGTCATGTAGTCAGAACGTCAAACACGAACTAAACTTAAAAGACCACGTATGAACCATAGTGTGTTAAGAGAAGCTTTTTCCTTGAGGAGAAGCCTTCCCGCCAGCTTGGTTCTAGAGCTACATCAGTCCCAAATAAACACACAGGAGGCTATATTAATTATGAAGCTGTTGGCCTTGCTTGTTTCTTACTGGCTAGCTCTGACTTAAGTAACTACCCCATAATTGTTAATCTAAGTATTTCTCTTACCGGAGAATAGTTCCGGGCTTCCTACCCCATGGCGTTACATCTTGACTCCTGTGTTTCTCCTACCCAGAGTCCTCCTGGACTCCTAGTCCCACCTATCTAGATTCCCTATTGGCCAGACAGTGCTTTATTGACAAATGACTTCCCCAACAATAGTGTACTACTTTGAGTTCTGGATGGAAGCAAACAACAATGTATGATGGTAACATAAACAAGCATTGAAATTGATTCTGGGCAGCAAGCTCTATGCTCTGCCACAAGGTTTGCTTTGTACATGCATATGCACCTGAGAGTTGGCATTAGTAATTAACTCATTTACACATGAAGAATTCTCTCCCTAGCTTTCACAAGGCTCTAAAATTTGGTCCCACTTCATTTACCTTCTATCTCTCCAAACAGCCTGTCCTTCGCGTTTTCATGTATACGCTTAAATGTTCTATCTCATCTTATTCTTATCCTGAAGACCCATGTGCCTCTTGCCCTTCATCTCCTACCTGGATTTTAAAACTCCAAGAAAAGCCAAATTTTCCCTGTGTGTTCCCATCCAGGTAACATTACCATGGGATTTATTCTTTTCTTTCAATTAATAGAGTGTGTGAGGAGAATTAAAAAATGAAGAGACAAACCTAGGTAAAAAGTAGAACCTTTCTCTACATCTACATGTCTAAAACACATGATCATGGAATAACATGTGGCAAGATCAAATGCAGGACAAAGGACCAAAAGTGGAGAAGAATCAATACAGTTAGTTGTTGGAAACCAACTCAAAATTCTTAGAATGAATAAAGTCTTATGTATCCAGACATGCGTGCATCTACTGTGATTCTCCATGCTTACTGTATAAATGCCTGTGCAACATCATTTTTACCCACATTACTTTTTATCAGGAGAAATGAAACTACAGAGTTAGAATACAGGCAAGAGTTATTATAAACTAATACAAATCTACCCAGAAGCTTGGAGGAGAATTCTCCAAGAAAAGGTTGGAGTCTTAAATACCTTCATTACTAAATAAAGAACAAAGAACAAGAATGCAATTGTTTCATGGATCGTTGGGAGAAGCAAAGCAGAGAAGCACAAGAAAAGAGCCAACCTGCCATTCTTTTGGCAGCAAAGCGGCTGGAACCCAATGCTTTGCAGTTGCTAGGCAAGTGCTCTACCACAGTTATACCTAAAAGCCCCATTTTTTTTTCTTAAAGAAGTATGCACATCAACCAATCTTACTCATGAGACAGCCAGGAGAATTGTCTCCTAACAGTGGGAGCTGGGGCTGTTTCTGACTCGGTTATCTGCTTTTGGGACCCTTTCCTTCTACTGGATTGCCTTGTCCAGCCTCAATATGCGAGGAGGTGCCCAGTCTCACTACAACTTGACATACCATGGCTGGCTGATATACATGGGAGGCCTGCCCCTTTCTGAAGAGAGGAGGAGGAGGAGATGAAGGGGAAGAGGGGAGGTTCAGGGGATGGACTGGGAGGAAAAGAGGGAGGAAGGAAAAACTGTGATCATGCTGGAAAACAATTCAGTTAATAAAAGTTTAAAAATAAAAATTAGCATATATATTTTTTCAGGTGGGTTAAAAGGTTCAGCAAGTAAATGTATTTGCCACCAAGTCTGATAACTTGAATTTGATCCTCTGGGAATGCTACCTCCCAAGTGCTATCCTCTGACTTCCACACTCTATGTGGCATGTGTGTCCAAATACATATACACAGACACATACATACACCTGCATAAAAGAAACAGACATGGCTAAGCACGGTGGTATACAACTTTAATCCCAGCACTTGGGACACAGAGACAAGTGGAACTCAATTCTAGGTCAATCTGGTCTACATAGCAAATCCTAGGCGAGCCAGGGCTCCACCATGAAATCCAGTCTCAAAAGAAAGGAAGAAAAAGTGTGCATGCATATATTAATTTCACTGTCACAGTCTCCGCAATTAAAGAAAATGAATTATCAACACTGGAAAAATAAAGGAGATGAAACCATGGCAATCGGAAGAAAACAGACTGTTATTATTGTGCTAGGAATGAGTAGGAAAGGATTCAGAAAACAATTATAATAAAAATAAGCAGTTCTCTCAAAATTCAATTGAAAGTAAAATGGCAGAGCATAACATGAATATACACAGAATTTCTAGGAATAAGGCATAATAAACATTTATTAAAAACAACTAGTTCAAACTTTTTGCCAACGGAGACAAAAAACAAACATCTAATTTAGTCTACAAAGTCGATATTCAGTTCAAATTTCAAAAAGATTTATCAAAATCAATTTTAAAAATATGTAAACCAAGATATGAAAGGTTTGTTTGTTGGTTTGTTTTTAAGACAGTGTCTCACTCTAAAGGCTTTGCTGGCCTGAAACTCACTATGTAGACACAAATGGCTTCAAACTCAGGGAGCCACCCGCCTCTGTCGCCCAAGTGTTGGGATTAAAGGTGTGCACCACCACATCAGTCCTAAATATGCCTTTTCATAGGGTGAAGAATTTGTCTTCAAATTTGGAAATGCATTCAAAAATCTCAATAAATAGAATAGAGAGCTACTCATAAAATAGGAAAGTGCCAAGGGAACCCAGGTGTGTGGACATTCAGACAACAGAACATGGTACCTGTGGAGCATCAGTATTTATTAGAGCTAAGACATCTCAATTGGGACACTCAAAAACTTATATAAATCAAAGGCGTAGATACTTGGGGACGGCAGAACAACAAACAAGGCTGAATTTTGAAGTTAAAGAAGTATAAATTAAGTTCCACATATTTAAGATATAAAAAATTATTTTAAGTCTTCTGTGATAATAAAACCAAACTCTAAGAGACACGGTGACAAGAACTATTTCCAGCACAAACAGACAAAGAACTATTGTTTCTAATATATAAGCAGCCTCTGTGAGCCAATCAGAATAAAGCAACCCAGGAGAAAAGTAGGACGGGGGAACATTATATAAAGATGGATGATAACATATGTAATAATTAAAAAACAATCTTGGAGGTTTTAAAATTAGCCAACAGCTGATTGCTTTATTCAATGCTGTTTTTCATTATTATGTGTGGGGTGCATGTGTGTATAAGTGGAAGCCAGAGGGGTCATTCCTCATGCGGCCCACCTTTTTTTTTTTTTAATTAGCTTTATCACTGACTTGGAGTTCCCAAGGCAGGGTAGACTGGCTGGCCAGTGAGGCCCTGCCTCCCTGCCTCCGTAGTGCTAACATTACATATGTGTACCACTACACTCAGAATTTTCTTTTAAGTAGGGTCTGGGGATCAAACTCATGTTCTCAAGCACTTTGCTGACTAAGCCAACTCCGCAGTCCCATGAGGCCATTCTGTATATAATGAATGATAATAAGACCTTATAGATTATAATATATAATCAGGATAAGGCTCAATAATAAGGCATGCTGTACTTATTTTTAATATTGCAATAATTTTAAATACGAACAGGTTGAATAATGATGGACTAACTTGTAAATCAATCTTTTTGCTGATGACTAGAAGAATCGTCCTCCCCAACAACCAAATCCATCTGAAGAAACCAGCGCTCTGAGGATATAGCTGAAATATCCGGAGAGAAGAGAAGTGCGCAGGCAGTTAGGCTGCCTTCGAGGACTGCTCTCTGCTCCCAGCACCTGCCAGTTCTCCACAAGGGATCTTTGAGGCAGCAAGCAACAGCCTAGGTGGTGTGAAGTTGGGGGACCTCCTAATCTCCCACATGGGTGGACACAAACAGGGGTTTAGGACCACAAAGGCACAAGAGTTGAAAAGTTTTTAGGTCCCGAGCCCTGCATACTAGAAGCATAACTAACACCTGAGCAGCCCTTATGCTGCAGGTGTGCTGTAAGTGAGTGCAAGCCTCAGGCTGCAGCCAAAAGACAGAGACTGACAGCAGCAACAGTCTGAAGCTTTCTCCAGCTTTATGCGTTAAAGGGAGGAAGGAAGGACACAGGACACAGTAGACAATGACCCACAGAGACTGACATACTGACCATATTTCATAATCTATGTCAAACTTTGCAGAATAGAAACAGCTAAAAATCAAACAATGACACTCATGAAGTCATTTCCGACCCACAGAAAAATCAAGTATGTACAAAGAAGAAAATTTTAAGGAAGAATGAAATGATCTAAAATGCTACTCTCAGTAAGTATCACAATGATATAAGTTAACAGTGGTTTGGCTTGGTTTTTGAAGACCTCACAGAGATCAGGCAGAATTGACCAGTGTTGAGAAAAGTACTTGTGCAGGCCTGACCTGAGTTCGTTTCCTAGAGCTCACAGTGGAAGGTTTTCTTCTGACTCCACTGTAATATACATATGCTCCCTCCCTGCTCTCTCCCCGTTTTGCCCACACTTGCTCATGCTCTCTCACACACATAATAATAATTACTAAAAATTAAGTTTTAAATAATCCTCTTGGAGAAGGCACACAGAGGCTAATTGGGGATAACAAACTTGCTAAAAGAAAAGGACTGCTATATGACAACTGCTAACCCCTCTCATTCTGGCACTGAAGATGAAAGTACATTAACATTTCCAAACTGTGAGCCCCAAAACACAAGTTATTCCAAAATACTACTAGAATATTCCTTCTGAACCACACCGTAGCATGCATAGAAAGAATGGTGGTACCACCACCTGTGCTCCTTTCTTGCCGGTCAGACATGTGGTTGTGCACAGTCAGGGGCTTCTTTAAGAAACAGTGCACAGTGAGTCCACAGCATGTTCAACTCTACTCCAGCACAAAGGTACTGCAGCACATTCTTCCACCAATGGCAGCCTTACTGGACACCCACACATCCTAAAGCAAAGCAAAAGATGGAGGCTGTTCTGTAGCCTACACACACACACACACGCACACACACACACACACACACACACACACACACACACGAATGCAGTGAATAAACAAATCAAAGAGTGTTTTAAGCAGCACACAATCCTCTGCTTTCTGAGATTTCCTAGGTGAAGCTAATCACCATCAAAGAGATCTCCAGCTCTAGGTGCTGATGAGACACAGAGCCTTTACCCACCCTCTCACTATTTGAGAAGATGAAAGCTTAACTATGGGAAAACAGTACTGTAACCAGAACTCTGTCCTGGCAAGGCTGGCCTGTCAGCATCTTGTTCTTTTGCCCACCTCAGACAGAGGCTGATACCTACTGAATATGGCAAACCTGTTTGAAATGCTGTTGTGACAGGTATAATCTCACAGCTGTCAATGGCAGCCAGGAAAGCAACAGGCCGCCCGCATGATGCCAGGACAAGATTCACTAACAGAAACCTTACAATAATATTTCAATTAGGCTTGTGTTATGTTTGATTATTTATGAAACAGATACATAACATTCTATGAAAGCCTTTTAAAACTAGGTAGATCTACATGTACTGACACTGTTGCCTCAATTATATGAAAATAAACTTGTAGAATATGAATATGATCTGTGATCTCTCCTGCCCCAGTCTCCCAAATCCTGGAATTACCATACTGTTCTGAGCTTTTAATCAGGAATTTGACCCATATCCCTTGTTACCCCAGCTCTGAACAAGCACTTCACTGGAAACTCCATCCCTGCCCCCTTGTTATCACCATTCCTTACCCTCAACCAGGACCCAGAGTCTGAGAAATCATACATGAACACTGTAGGCTGACTAAGCTCCCACAAGAAATAGGAAGCCAAATGATCTCCACAATGGTTGCCATGGAGATGGAAGGCCCTAGTTGTTCTTTCTGAAGGTTCCTCATCTGTGAAACAGCAATGTTTAGAAAATCAGAGTAAATTTTATGTTCACAGACTCACACTGGTCAATTTCAAGAAAAGATCCAAGCTCAGTCTGTAAGGTATAAACATTCTCATCACTCTCAATCTTTAGCCTTTTCAGATTTACCATTTTAAATATGGATGTCCTTCAGTGTTTAATCTAAAACAGAACAGCACCTAATACTGTTATTGTGAGTAAGACAATACTAGTCATTAAGCTATCTTAAAAGTTAGGTCAACCTATACAAGCAAGTGAGTATTCAAAAGCTCTTGTCCTGCCCAACTGTGACTTATAATTAGCTTTCTCACCAGCTGTGAGGCTCCCGAAGCCCCCAAGCATCAAATGTCCACATTGAGCTTTACTTATAGGATGTGCCTATCTTTCTAACACCCTTTGAAGCCAGGGGTTCATCTCATGGAGTATGTGGAGGGACAGCTGGGGGTCAGAGGTTGTAGAGTTTCAGACTTTGTGAGAGAAGCACGATGCGCACATTCTGGAACTTAGAAAGTAGTTATTTTCCTTCTGGGCTGACTCCGTATCACTGTTGACAACATGGTAAACATTTTTTAGATCAATCATGTTTACAAGAAAGCCAACATCAAACCCTGGCACAGCATTCCAAGACAAGAGTAAATAATCTAAGAAGACTAAATAAGAAAATCCAAAGGACTTCCGAGGAAAGGGATGTCTTTAAGATCCCACAGTTGATTTGTGGAATCCTAAGTCAGTTAGGGTCAGGTGTGAGTGTGTGTAACTAAGACATGGATAATCATGGCAGCTCAAGATAAAAGGCCAGACTTCTCTCAACCAAATGATGTCTAGACAGGCAGCCAAAGACTAGCCTGATAGCCCAGTCTCCTCCCAGTTCACTGCTCTGCCTGAGCCCTTTCTCACCCATCTGAGATGATGACCAGAGCTCCTGCCACTGAGCCAAAACTGCAACATCATGAAGGAAGAAAAGTTAAGGGGAAGGGACACATGGGATTCATCACCAGCTCTGGAGGTTTCCAGAAACGGTCACAGCGCATTCCCACATCCTTCTCACACGTCATACTATTTTTGCTGAACCAAAAGGAACATAATTAATTATGTATGGAGAATCTGAATTTAAGATACATGTGTGCATGCACACACCTGACAAGCAAGCAAAATGAGGGAAGAAGAAATAGGAGAGGACAACGGGGCACCAATCAGACAAGGGACAATGATTTACATGCATAAAACTGTCATAATAAGGGCCAGGGAGATAGCTTAGCAGGTATTGTTGTGCAAGCCTGATAACCTGAGTTATTATGCTTAGAGGTGAAATAGGAAAACTGACTCACAAGTTGCCCTCTGACCTCCACACAGGTGTCATGGTATGTGCATAGCTCCCCCTGTACATGTCACACATAATATACAAAAATACTAATAAAATTTAAATGTCATAATGAAACCCATTAGTTTGTATGCTAGCAAAAATTATATGTATATAATGATTTGTACCCCTAAAAGTTTATTTGTATTTCATTTATAACCTGACACCCCCAGTAATAACTTTGTTGGTTACCTCATAATCCATCACATAAATCAAAGGGTTGAGATCTACAATTGTTGCACACTGCCCAAACACAGCAAAAAAAAAAAAAAAAAAAAGTTAATGACTACACAGGAAAAAACAAAGACTACAGTAAAGGAGAAGTCTTATTTATTCATTCTACAAAACTACATATAGCTACATATGGCAGGGTGCTGCTCCAAAGAAGAAAACTGAATACTTTAATGCCCACCTGAAGTGAGGTCATGAACACATAATCAACTACAGAGCACACAGCAGTAGACACAAAGACGAAAAGAAGGAGGATGCAACCCAACGGGTGTGGAGGCAGCTGAGGCTTCCCAGAAGCGGTGAGGCCTGATCCGAAGGATGACAGAGGAAAAAACTAGGAAACTGTAATGCAAAGCAGAGCCTAAATCACAAGAGAGAGATGCCGCTACTGGAGGCCCTACAAGCAGTTGGGTGTTTCTAGAACATAAAATGTGATACAGAAAAATGAAAGGAAAAAAGCTACAAATGGAAAAATACATTACACCTGAAAATGTCATATTAATGTTCATATTAAAAACAACCCCAAATTACTTTTAATAGTTCATCCCAAATGCTCGTGTTTTATAACATTAATATTATTATTATTCCTATTATCTGTAATGTAAGCTCTATAAAAAAGCATGGGAATTCAGATGTGATATACTCACAGATACTCTATGAGACGTTTCTTGAAAATACCTGCAGAAAATAGTCATTTTATATTTTGAACCCTGCAGAATACTGCTGTTATTTTACTCTTTCTTTTTGGTGCTGGGTGTGGAACCTGGGGCAGAACTCTGGCTCCACCCTCCAGAGCTGTACATTAGAATATCAAATTCTATTCCAGCAACAAACCATAAAATGGATATCACTTAACCACAGCAGGAAAAGACTTTAAATGGTATATAAAGTAAAACTTTTCAACTCTAAAGCCACATTATTCAAACAATGGTGGACTTGTATATTTATTAATTACCTGGTCAGAGTCTATTTAGTCCAGGCCTGACTTGAATTCACAATCCTGCCTCAGCCTCTCCAGTGCCGGGATTACAGGCCTGTGTCACCACATTTGATTTATGGTATCTTCTATCTCAGTCAGTACCATAAAATTATTCTCTCCAGTACCAAGATCATTTCTGTCCACATCCAGTGAGTGTTTCTGTTTTTATTGTCCTTCCCTCTGTTGGCCTTGGACTTTGTTTTGAAAATTATTAGTATACTGATTAAGAGGCACACACTATTCCCTGGATTTTTCTACCTCACATATCAATATGTCTTAATTATCTATTTCTCTACCTCTTCCTTCTATTCAACTCAATGAGTATGAGTCAGTTTCTGCATGGAGGAAAATCAGCATTGGATTTACTTTCTCACTTCAGTGTGTTTTTTGTTTTTGGTAAACACTATTTTACTGGGTTGTGATTTAAATGAGCAAACATTATCCAGAGTCATTTGTATTTGTCCCTGTAGTTTCCGCAGGTACCAATTTGCCACACCGTGTGAAGGCAAGTCCCCACACAGTGCAGCACCAGAGTGGTCCTACTCTTGTGACATTCAAGCATCTAGGTTTTCTAGTTATAGTTTTCCTTGTTGCTAGATTCAGAAAAGAAATTCACTAAAGAGGTGTAAAGTGTATAAGGTGGAGAGACATAAAAAGATAACTTTGGTTTGGTAATGCAAGTTAGGATAGAAAGTGAATTAGGTACAACCTGTTGAACTCACCAAGATAGGATAGGTATCAAGTACTTTCTCTGAATTTGTCAATTACTAATGGACTAGACATTGTTGACATACTTATTGCCTGTATATATTGCATATAGTTGTACTTTTTGTATACAGTTTTTCTTATATTAGTTATAACCTTTTCTTATGTTATGCAAGAAGGGAAATGTGGTGACATCTCGTTCGTGCTCTAACAAATATCTGAATGCAGAGTTTTTATTTTTAGCCTTTAGGCAGAGCTGGCAGGAGTTACAGTAGTATGTGCAACTACAAACTTCATAAGGGACCCAGCCCACTCCCATGGAGTCAAGATCATTTCTGCACATTCCACACACGCAGTCTACCATATGCTTCTGAGACTACTGCAGTGCCCGGCACACTGCGGGCAGTTAGAAACTGTGCTTACTACATAAATCTGTATGTACAAGAATGAATGAGTCAGTGAATGAACACATAATTCTAAGACTAAACCAAAAAATTATGCTAAGTGGTCTGTGTGCCATAAAGAATAAGGAAAAGAGAAATATAAGAAAAAACATTTTCATGAAGTTTGCTAAATATGTAACAGAAATGTAAAATACAGAATTATGTTTGCAGTCAGAATTTTTTGGGACCAAGGACTTTTGATGGGAACAAATGAGAGGGAGTTAAAGATGACAGAGGTCTTCAATTGCAGTTGCTCTTAAATGGCTCTCGAAAATGAAAAGAAACTAAAGATACCCAATACGTAAATATTTTAGTGGTGACTACTGAAGTCTGTACTACCTATCTGTAAGATGGTAAATTGTAACCTGGTTGTTAAAAAGGGTCATAACAGCTGGGCGGTGTTGGCACACGCCTTTAATCCCAGCACGCGGGAGGCAGAGGCAGGCGGATCTCTGTGAGTTCAAGGCCGGGCTGGACCAACAGCCTCCAAAACAATACAGAGAAACCCTGTCTCGTAAAACCAAATAATAATAATAATAAATAAAATACAATAAAAGGGCCATAACAAGTCCTAAGATACCAAAAAGCACAGCTTTAAAAACTTCTATTTGTTCATAATAAACAAGTTTTAGAAATTCCTCCTCAGAGAAATTTTAATATACAGGAAGGGATTTATACAAACAGCAGCCTTGCTTATATTAGAAGGCAGAAGGTCCCTCGGGCATGCCTGCTTTTTGAAATGCTGTTTGCAGTGCATAATGATCTCATTTAAATTCTTTTTTAGACTTTAAAGTTTGTTCTTTATGTAATTCATAGTTCCTGAAGAAGAGCTGGGGTCACCACTGTGAGGAGCGACGCACCGTGAGCAGACACGGAGTGGAGTTGTGAGGACCCCAGTCCTGTGTGCCAGGCACTGCAGACGCATGCTAACAGCATGCCCACCTGCTCTGAGTTTCTCTCTGACTCAAACAGAATGTGCAACAAACCAAAATTAATTGATGCTCCACTCACATACAAGTTCCACCTGAAGGCTCCTCAGTAAAAGAATGGGAAGAAATCATCCTGTGGATGCCAAGAGTCCTTCAACAGTCCCTAAGCAGCTCAGACAATGGAGCCTGAGAACAGCCGTGGCTGTTCGCACACAGAGGCAGGACTTGCTCTCTTCTGGCAAGAGGAAATGAAACCACTGGTACCTGCCACTGAAGCCTAACTGAAGGGTTAATGAGCTAACCAGCACCTGGAGTTGGAGGATAGGATTGTCTGTCTTCCAACAAGCAAAGCAAAGAAAGCTGCAGATCTGTCAGATGTAAGGAAGCTACAGGTCTGTCATATCCTTCCCTTATAGACTACCTTCAAGGTTCACATCCCAACACCAAGCTAAGGTTTGAGACATATATTCTCCCAAACTGGAGTGGATGTGTCCAAGAATAAAATATATGCTGGAAGGAATGTTATTGCATTTTCCCACTTACAATATACACACTTTTACATGAATGTGTATTATGCTTACCATGCCAGAGACGAGATGCTGGTGATACAGAAATCAGCACAAAGAACCTGCTATCACAGGATTACTCTAAATGTTTACTAACACTTTTTGCTGTTCATGGTTTTTAGACAGGTCTCACTGTGTAGCTCTGGCTGTCCTGCAGCTCACTATAAAGATCAGGCTAGACTTGAACTTGTGACAATTTTCCTGCCTCTGCTTAACTTTCAGGGGTTTTCCACCACACACTTTT